TTTTTTTGGTCCCATCTGGCAGCTGCACAGCGTGTTTGTGTTGGCTAAGCTCTGCTTGTTCCAGTGCTTTGCTTCTCTTTCGTGGAACAGTCCTAGGAGGAGGAGGGGCTCTGGTCCCGCTGTCCACGCCAACAACCATGATAAAGAACCTCGGGCCATTAGCACACTGGCTCCCTCTCCAAACCAAAGAAAGAATGAAAAAAAGACCCCCTTTACTGACTGCAGCCCTGCACTTAGGCTAATGTTAGTCTAAAGGAGACCTTGTCTACTGTCACTTACATTTACGATTAATACTGCCTCACTGTCGGCTTACACTGCACTAGACAGTGGCTGTGTTCACGTAAATATTTACTTGGCTAGGTAGTTTTACTTTTTTCTATTGGTGTAACTGACCCAGTTCACTTTCTGGTTACGAAAATCTTAATGTCACCTGTTTTGCCCATGCTCATAATCTACAGTGAATGGCAAGGTCTCATGTTTGAAAGGCTACCAAGTAAACTCAAATTACAGACCTAATTTCCTAACTCAATTTTGATTTCTTGTAAAGCTTGTAGTGTTTTAAAGATTTAAACCGAAGTGAAGCATTTAGTTTTATTAGATTTGCTTTCAAAATATTAAATTAACCTAAAGCTTCTTGTTCTGCTCTATTTCTGATGGCCTTTTTGATGCTGGATAATGGGATCTTGCTTGCACCTGCTGAATGAATATGGGTCAATCCCAATAAACTGTCAAATCACTTTATTTAATTTGCTGTGTAAGGATTTTTGGTTAATTTAGTGTCATATTACTCCCCATGACCTACATTTATGAAATGATAATTAATGAAATAATATAGGCTACTTTCCCAGTCTTGGGTTGTAGCTGGAAGGGCATCCGCTGCGTAAAATATGTGCTGGATAAGTTGGCGGTTCATTTGGCTGTGGCGGCCCCTAAATAATAAAGGGAGTAAGCAGAAAAAGAAAATTAATGAATTTAGGCGCCACTGATTTAAGTCCCGGCTGGGCCAGTTTGCATTTCTGTTTGGAGTTTGCATGTTCTCGCTTTGTTGGTGTGGACTTCCTCCGGGTGATCCAGTTTTCCGCACATTTCAAAGACATGTACCATAAGTGAATTGAGTAAACTAAATTGGTTGTAGTGTATGTGTGAATTCAGGAGTGTATTGTTGCTTTCAGTGTTGGGTTGTGGCTGGAAGGGCATCCGCTGCGTAAAACGGATGCTGAATAAGTTGGCGGTTTATTCCGCTGTAGCGACCCCTGATTATAATAAAGGGACCAGTTTGAAAAGAAAATGATTGGATGAATGAATGAAATAATTTATTATTTATTAATATTAAAAATGATTTATCTTTATTTTTTATACAGTTTTAAGATTGTTTTATTTTGCAAGGTATTAAATTTTATATAATTTTGTATAAATGTATGGTTGTATGCTAAAGTTTGCCTCAATTAAGTCTTCTAATATCGAGATGCTGTGTATTTTATAAAATCAGTAAAATCCTGCTGGATTTCACATCATGCTGCTTTGTTTATTGCAGTAACCAAGGCAACACCATTATTTTTGCAGCTCTTTAGGTGCCAACCTGCTGAATTGGATAGATTTAATAGAATTTTATTCAGTATATGAATAATGTTTTAGTTTTGGATTAGTTTCTTAAATTAATATTTAGTAAAGATACTGTAAGTTAAAATCTCGCCAGTGTCTTAACAAGGTCTTAAAAGATATTTAATTTCACTGGAATAAAATAATTCTTGCTGAGATGATTAAACTAAATTACTAAAAAACTAAATTTTGGTATGTCAGTGACTCGTAATTAAATCAGATCCATGACAAAGTATGCAAAGGACCCAATCCATTTCATGTGTTTCTACATGTTTGTGAACATTAGCCCCTGTACTTTCATGAAAACAGCTGTAGGAATGATTTTTGTACTTCTGCATTCTGCTATTATGAGAACTACATTCTTCTAACACTGTTTACACTTGCAACACTTTAGGTGAATTATGTTTTTTTCGTGAGTGAATGGGGTTTCCTCAGTCTCTGTTTGTGTGAGAAACACCTACAAGTCTTAATTCTGATTGGCCAACTCTTGCTCTCCAGCATTAACTGCTTCTGTTCATAGTTTTCACCTTCTTTCTGCTCCTTCCTCTTTTCTCATGGCATATGTGTCCTATTATTCATCACATATGCTCACATTATTGGATATGCTTTACACGTTTAGATGTTTGGCCTCCTTTGAAATGCTATTTGAGCATTCCAGTCATGTTAATCATGCATATTTACTCGCATTGTGTGCTCATGTCATATGCATTCGATAATAAGGGTTCTGGGCATTTTGTCACACTGCAGATCAGAAAAGCTTTGATAAATATAAGCCTCATTGAGCATGGAAAGTATTGCTTTTAGGGTGTTATTTTTCTTTTTGAGCTTATCCAGCCACTTAAGTTTTTGTAATTTCGTCCCATCTACTGTGTGAGGGGAAGTTAGCTTCGCATTGTTCAAATTGTTTTTTTGTCAGGTCAGAAGAGAAAGGGAGAATTTGTGAAGCTTTTTGCTTTCCTTGTTGGGAAAGAAGACCTGAAGGGATGTGATGAGTGAAACTGTGTGAATGTTGTTTTTTTCATGGAAAAAAGTAAGGGAGAGACATGGATGTATCAGCAGTAACCAGACAGGAATTCTGTTTGATTCAGTCCAGAGCAGCATGATTTTGGAGCACGAGTTTTTGTGTGCTGTCTGGCTTATATATAAGACCTGTTATATTTATGTATTTATACAACAGTTCTGTCTGGTTCTTGAAACTGATTGGGTGATAGCCGTGAGATATTAAAGTAATATCAGCACTCATACAGCCTCTTCACTCTTGTGTATTACTCTGCCCACATAACCGGCAGCAAACAGAGGGTTACAGTTTGACAAATATTGCACGGTCATGGAAAACCTGGAAAAGTCATGAAATTTTGACATTGCATTTTCCAGTACTGGAAAAGTTTTGGAAAAACAGATATCTGTACACTTGAATATAGGTTAGTTGTCGTCTTTTCTATCCTTGGCCAATCACATACTCTCACATTATTGGTGTGGTGTAAGCATTGTTTAAATAAATTTTACATAGACATAAATTGAAACTAAATTGATTATTGCGTGTTTTACGATATGCTGTAATACATTTGAACATGCATTGTTTTTCTTTTACCATGAAAAATTGTTTTTCTTTTGCATGAAAAATTAGGTCATGAAAATTTACTTTAACGTCTTGGAAAAATAATGGAAAAGTCATAGAAATTTAGTAGTTAAAGCAGGGGTGGCCAATCCTGTTTCTGGAGAGCTACCTTCCTGCAGATTTTAGTTGCAACCCATATCAAACACACCTGCCTGTAATTATCACATGGTGTTCAGGTCCTAATTAATTGGTTCAGGTGTGTTTGATATGGGTAGCAACTGAAATCTGCAGGAAGGTAGCTCTCCAAAAACAGGATTGGCCACCCCTGAGTTAGTGTATAAACCCTGTACTGAGCAAAGCAAAGACAGTTGACGTTCCGCTACAAGATGGCAATAGAGACCACATAATAAGTCCTTAGAGGAGAAAAACAGCAATTTTTCAGTGTACATTTCAAACTACAGCTAAACAAATCATTATAACAGGTAGGTGACATTCTAAAGCCCCTATCACACAGTGATACCAATAAATATCTGGAAAATTACGGCAACAGCTTTACAGGTGAATTTAAAAAGCACACGAGTAGCAGTATATCATCACTAGTGGGACACTAAAGGTGCTTTCACACCTAGACTTTTGTTTCTGAACCTGTCTCGTTTGCCCAGTTAGCACGGTGCGTTTGGCATATGTGAAACTACCAATCGCGCTCTGATCCGCAACAAATTAATCGCTCCGTGATCGCTTGAATGAGGTGGTCTCGGCTCAATTAAAACAAACTCTGGAGCGGATCGATTGTAGTGAGAAAGCGATACAATCCGAGCCTGGTTATATCACAGTGTATTATGGATATGTAATAGGCATACGGCTTTATAAAGAGCAGGGCGGGGGGTCGTTCCAGACATCCCAAGCCTCCAGGAAGTTTCAGGAGTCTCCACACAAATGCACAGAGACTCCTGGGTGCCCGCAAACGAGTGATAATCCCGGAAATCATGCGTCTCCCTCCCGGTCCATAAATACGTAGCGCACTCCTCTCACCCCTCCCCACCGAATCCGTCCTTGCTTTTCAGAGACGTCGTGCTCACCCTGTCAAACACCACCAAACCACTACCACCCCCCTGACAGCTGAGCGGAACTCTGCAAAATAAACCGTGAAACTGACCAATGTGAGGAGAGTTTACTCGCACGTGACTTGTTTTAGTTCTTTTGGTCCATTTAGAAACTTTGTCGTGTGAAAGCGAACCACACCAAGAGCAAAGAGCAACAATGTAACAATTTTCATCCCTATTTCGGAACAACTGAATCGATTCACAGGTATGAAAGTACCCTTAGGCATTTAGCCTGCGGCCTGGAGCCAACGCACACCTCCCACTAGTGCCAGTATATCGCACTGCTACTCGTGCTGTATTTAAATGTGCGTATATATGTAAATGTGTATATGTATGCGTGTGTGTCCAAAATGGTTTACCTTCATAGCTTCTAACCTGATATTTAATGCTCTGTAAATCTATAAATGACCGTCTGTAATTCTTGCCGGATTTCCAGTTTATTTAGATTCTAATCATCATTCATTTTAAGAAAATTCAGTGAACAAGGTACATTTAAAAGTGAGCTTAATAAATGTAACTTAGATATTTATTTTTGTTAAATATTTGTTTTCCTTGATTTAAAGGAACTAGCGATATTGCCCATTTGATGCTTGATGGTGTGTGTAATCAATCCTTCTTAGCTGGTCTGACACAAATAAAGGTGAAATGTTTTTTGTGATGGGAACCTGGTCACAGATCTGTGCTCTTGAAAAGGTCAGCTGTCTAAATGCTTCTGGTATTGTGCTTCTTTTCTTTAAAAGCAGATAACACGACCTTCACAGGAAGAGAAGACAGAAGACAAGAACGAAGAGGACAAATCCGAGAAAACCGAGAAGAAAGAGGACGAGGAGAAAAAGGAAGAGGAGGAGAAAGATGAAAAAGAGGACTCTAAGTAAGTCTCATGATTTTCCCCTCTTGCTTTGAACTGGCCTCACTTCACCCTATTGCCCCAACTCCACTGTGAAATCCCTGAGCCACACACACACACACACACACACAATAATCTGTTGAGAGCGATATCAGCACAGTTATTGGTCTGTTGAAACGATGTGGGATTCACTCTTAAGTTGCAGTGTTTGCAAAAAATGTTTCTCTTAATTCAGAAAGAGCCCAGACGATGAAGAGCAAACAGATATATTGGATTGCTCTCTCAATGAGAATGCAGTAGGTTAAAGTAGGTGAGATGATCTGGTTTCTGTGAGGTGAGCCTTATTGTAACAGAGGCTTAAGATTAACCTCATTAACTCATTTGCTCTGGAGGAGACAGTGTGCTTTACTCGGGACCTGTTATGTCACTACCAGGAATTGCACAAAAAGTAGAATTCATCTTGGAAAAACTGGGATTTACTTTTGTGTGAAATGTGTGGTGATCTGGCTTATGTGCTCATGCTATGGAAATCCTAGAAGTCTAAAATTCCATTATTAGGTGAGAAACTTGCTTGGTGTTTACAGCTTGCTTGATCTGACCGTCTGAGTAGAGGCAATTCAATTTAAAGCAGCAGAGAATGTTATTACATTGTCGTTTCCTTCTTAGGGACATCAGTAAAGATAAAGAGAAGTGTGAGGGAGAGGAGGAAGAGGGTAAGGAGCAGAGCACACCACGTGGCCGAAAGACCGCAAACAGCCAGGGCCGCCGCAAAGGCCGCATCACCACTCGCTCCATGGCCAATAATGAGGCTGCATCTGTGGTGTCTGAAGACCCACCTCCACCACCACCTGAACCAGGTAACATCCACAGTTGTTTATTTACATTCTCTTCCCTTTTTTGAGTTTTCATATAATAAATAAAAATAATTACAGAACATGAAAAAGAGTTTTATATATATACACACACAGACACTTACCGGCCACTTTATTAGGTACACCTTACTAATACAAAGTTGGACCCCATTTTGCCTTTAAACTGCCTTAATCCTTTGTGGCATAGATTCAACAAGGTACTGGAAATATTCCTCTAAGTTTTTGCTCCATAATAACATGATAGCATCACAAAGTTCCTGCAGATTTGTCGGCTGCACATCCATGATGCAAATCTCCCGTTCAACTACATCCCAAAGGTGCTCTAATGGATTGAGATCTGGTAACTGTGGTGGCCATTTAAGTTCAGTGAAATTATTGTCATGTTCAAGAAACCAGTCTGAGATGATTCATGCTTTATGACATGGCGTGTTATCCTGCTGGAATTAGCCATCAGATGATGGGTAGACTGGTCATGAAGGGATGAACATGGTCAGCAATGTTACTCTAGTAGGCTCTGGCATTGACACAATGCTCAATTGGTACTAATGGACCAAAAGTGTGCCAAGAAAGTACATCATCACCATCACTAGCCTGAACTGTTGATTCAAGACAGGATAGATTTATGCTTTCATGTTGTTGACACCAAATTCTGACCCTACCATCCAAATGTCGCAGCAGAAATCGAGACTCATCTTCTGTTGTAACAAGTGGTTATTTGAGTTACTTTTGCCTTTCTATCCGCTCAAACGAGTCTGGCCATCCTCCATCGGCATCAACAAGGCATTTGCGCCCACAGAACTGCCGCTCACTGGATATTTTTACTTTTTCAGACCATTCTCTACAAGCTCTAGAGATGGTTTGTTCATGAAAATCCCACGAGATCAGCAGTTTCTGAAATACTTTGACCAGCCCGTCTGTCACCAACAGCCATGGCACTTAAATATTCTTTCTTCCTTATTCTGATGCTTGGTTTGAACTGCAGCAGATCATCTTGGCCATATCTGCATACCTAAATGCATTGAGTTGCTGCCATGTGATTGGCTGATTAGTGATGTGCGTTAACAAGCAGTTGGACAAGTGTACCTAATAATGTGGCCGATCAGTGTGTGTGTGTGTGTGTGTGTATATATATATATATATATATATATATATATATATATATATTAAAGTAAAAATCAAAAAGGTAAAAAATATCCGACCTTGAACCAGCAGATTTAACTGTCTTTGATTTGTCATACTGTTTGAAAGTAGCTGCCATGTAACTAGGTTGAAAATATTGTTATATTTACATATTGTTGAAATATAAAAAAATATGAGAAGACTTAATATTAATAATATTAAGTAATAAAATATTCATCTGTTCAAACAAACCAGTTTGCTTTACATGTATCCAAGCTCGTTCACAAAGTACACACAGAAGCACAAAAAGTCCTGAAGGTTTATTCTGTGTTTGCGTAGTTTTGCCAGAGCCAGCACCCCCTTCCAAACCTGAGCCGACACAGAAACCAGCTCGAGAGCCGGCAAAACCCTCTATTGCAGCCAGCGCAGACACACGAGGTGAGCACTATCTGTTTCTCACTTACTTTAACCTCTCTCTCTTTCCCTGTTGAAATGGTTTCTCACATCCACACACTCTCTCACCTCTCAGAAAAGTGCTGTGATGTCTGTCTGCTGATCGAGCGGTCAGTCTGGGGGAAGTGCGATCTGTTCCTCAGTGACCTCATTACACAACCTCAAAGTCACCTAGTTTGCTGTTTTTCTGACCATCTAGGTGTAAATGTGTGTGTTTGCTATAGAAGAGAGTTTGCACAGAATCACAGAGGCTTTGATAACGTAGACTAAACATTACCGAATAGGTGCGTTTGTAACCGATTTAATGGTATCAGTTAAACGATTAAAAATATTATTTTATATATTTTAGTTTGGCTGCATAAGGGACCGATCGAATGCGCTTTTTGCGTTAAGAGGGGCATCTTTTGAATGGTTTACTAACGGTCGCAAGTTTTTTGCACGCATCTCATCACAGAGCTGCAGTGTTTGTGTTGTCAGATAACTGCAGAGAACTTTTCAAGAGCATGGTTTCTGCTACATTCATTCTTCCATAGCAAGGCGCCAAACCAAAATTCATCCCTCCACGGCTACATTACAGCTTCCCATTCAAAACATTTAGTCATTCTTTGTTGTTGTTGTTTTTAATAGCGGATTATAATCGCACTGAAACGTATTAGAAGGTAAGTTAATTATAACAGCACAAACTTTTGTGTAACCGTATAGTGCTGTGCGCTATTAGTTAAACCCTTTGAGGTTACGTGCTGACTGACTGACAAATGCGTGAGGTCAGCAAACACGGCGTAGCTTTCAGTTGTGATGAACACAGTTTCCATAAATATACTTTATTTATAGGTAAAGGTCTATTGCTCTGCATATAATGACTTTACTTTCACTTTACTTCAGGACCCATTAATGCCGCTTTGCAGGTCTGTTGGCCACTTTCAGAAATCTTGAATATCACAGTATTATTAAATATTACAATTGTAACAACATAAACAGCAACACTCTTGCACAATCAATGCCCAGCTGATTCAGTCGTTTTATAGTGACATAAAAAAAGAGCGCCGCACTTCTTGTCAACAATAAAGGCAGTGAGATGCACCTCATGTTTTTGGAAGAGAAAAGCACGTTTGCAGTGATTGGGCCCTTGGACGATAACGTATCACCACATGTGCCTACAGACATATTTGCCAAAGAAGCAAAATGGAAGAAGAATATTGTTGTTTGATACAGACGAGTTGATGCCAAATCAGCGCTTATGCTGATTGCCACCTGGATCTGCGTCATAAACACAACAAATAGGCTTTAGCATTCATTTTACAGTTTATAAAGCATGTATGCAAATTAATGCAATATCATGTTTAAACAACAACACTGTCTACAAAAAGTCAACATATACGCGTGTTGTCATTATCTTTTTATTACTGCAGCGCGCACACTTGAACCGCAAGTGAGAGAGAAAACATTATATCAAGACATAGCCTAATCTTTAAAATAATGATTTCTATTAAAAATGTAAAAAGATTTTGTGATATAGTAACAGAGGGGCATTAAATAAATGCATATTTTCCGTGGAGCGAGCGATTTGAGGAAGTCTGCTATATATATATATATATATATATATATATATATATATATATATATATATATATATATATATATAAATTTTTTTTTTTTGACGATAGAAAAAAACATGATTAAAAAAAAAAAAACAGCCTGTGCCCGTTCAGTCAGTGTTTTCATTTTGTAATCTAAATTAATCATTGAGGGGAAAATAATTTAGGGCAGACCTATTTATTTTATTCATTTTATTTAGTTTATGCTGTTCTTCTATGCTGTTGGAAACACTGCAGGTGCATGAAGATGCTTGTTATGTTCTTTTATTAATATGCTAGCATGTTAAAATATATCAGCATTTTTAAGTGCTATATTAAATGTGGCAGACACAAAATAGACACGTCAGTTATTTTTTATTTATTTAGTTTAATATTAATCTGACCAGTTAACCGTTAATATCCGATTAACAAGCGGCGGTTGTCGGTTAACAAAATTAACTGAAATGAGCATCCCTACTAACCGTGTTTCGTACACTTCACTGTTCAGCGCACTCAAGTGACCACTCCTCCGTCATTAAAAGACAAATAAGCATGTTTGTGTGATCATTCTCTGGGTGAATACCCATTGCACAACTCGAATTTTGATTGATGTCTTTTGGACTAGTAGTTTATGAGAAAAGATGGCAAAAGTACCACCTACACACGTGTCCGGAAGATGATGGGTATTAACGGTGCTCCATACACTAATAAAACAGTGTTCCGTAAAGAGCGAATAACTTCATTTCACCTGCAAAAATGGACATCCTCTTATTAAAAACTAACATCAGAATATACTATTATTGTGTGTTATGAACATTTAAAATTCTATAACTTTACAATGATTTATTGTTTATTTTATGTTTATTTTATTACAGCATGACAATTAAAAATATTAAAACATTAAATTCATGCAAATTAACGTTAACTTGGCTGACCTTTTATGAATATAAACATCATCACTGTACAAAGATTTTCCAGACAGCGTTTGCAGCCTGTCTTTCAGGCTCTCTTGACAATTTGTGATAACATAATATTAATTTCATAAAGGTGGTAATACTCTTTGATGCATTAATTTAAATGCATATTGTCATTGCTCTAAATGTCTGCTTCCAAAGCGACACTCGCCCCTTTAGTTTAATCTGTCTGTTTTCAAGCGCATTAGGTAGACGTAGCAAACTTACTGAATTTTCTTAGAAACACATGGTAGGAGGGTATCTGTTGTGCTCGGTGGTAAAAAAAAAAAAAAGCTGAACTCAATAAAAGAAATAAAGATTACACAGATATATAGCTTGTCTACGACCCATAAGTATTTATTCAGAGATAGGCGTTAAAAGGCAATCTGTACAGAACATCGTTGTGTACGAAACATGGCTAGTCTGCGTTACCTGGTGCTCACTCAACATCAATCTTTCAGTGTTATTTCACTTTTCTTTTACTGTTATGACGTCTTGTGTGTTTACTGTTTATTCCTTTTGTGCTCTTCTGTTAGTTTGTTAGTTTCTGTTGCTGTTTTGCTCCGTTTCGCTCTCTCCATGAGTGTTTGTCCGTCCTCTTCTATCTCCAAATCCCTCTCTTCCTCCTGCCACCCAACGCCAGACTCAAGGTCTCTGAGTTTGTGTTGCCGTGGTGACAGCGGGTGGAGGGATCGCCATGGAGACGATAATGAGAGGCAGGTAAACGCAGCGAGCGTCAGGAGGAGTTTTATTAGAGCGAAATTGGGAATGAAAGACCGGCCTGATTGTTTCATATGGCGTTCGGCTAGTTTAAAACCAGAAACAAAACAGACCTCAGCACTTGCTAAATAGAACATTTTGAGGGATGTAAACAAAAACAATGCTCTCAACGTATTTCCTGTTTTATATTTTGAATTGCTATAGCTTTCAAGAATCCAAAAAGAGCCACATATTGATATTGTTATGCATTAAGATAACATTAAGATATGATAGACTTGCCTCTTGTTACAGTTATGAAGTAGTTTGAACAAGCAGGGAATGTTGATGGGCCACATTGAAATAGTCTATAGTATTCATCATGGTTTGCCACCGAGGAGATTAGACACGTGAGGATGCTTGGCTGATTAGCACAGCGTAGTACCTTAAAGATCGCTCAGCTTTTGTATTTGTTTTCACCATAGAGTCTCTTGTCTGGCCTCAGTGCTGTGTGTTGTGATCTGATGCAGCACTATTAAACCACAAGCCCACAGACTCGGCACGTCGCGCCTGATGAACTTTGTGTCTGTGTTTGATTTCCTCTCATCTTTCTCCATCTTTAAAGTGGGTTTAAAGTTTTAAACAGATGCTGCACATCCATAATGCACCAATTTTACGTCTAAACCGCCATCAACATGACAAAGCAGTGGAACACGAGCATATAAACGCAACACGCTCGCTCTCAGGGGTCACGGGGTAATGTAAACAGCGTCTAGTGGGTCACCAAAGAGACGTTTATTTGAAGAGTTTTAGCGGAGGTTCGCCACACAAGTCATCCAAACACTGCGGGGACACACACTCGCGCTCTCGCATAAATGTCAGAGGTTCACACTGTGCTAAATCTGTCTTAGTGTTTAGTCAATTTCAAGGAGACCCTCGGAGCGGGCGGGAGAGGAGTGTACAGGCTGTCTTTCTCTCTGTCTCCGTCTCTCTCTCTCTCTCTCTCTCTCTTGCTCTCGCTGTAGTTTGAGTGGAAATTGCGTAGGGAGGGGTTGTTGCACTGCTCGCTTCAGCTCGGCTACTGTTATGAGAGAGTCTGCCTAATGATATGGGTGAGTGAGTGAGTGTGTGTGTTGGTCTTAGACCCAGAAGGGTGGTGCTTCTGCACTCCTCCACTGTCTGCTGGAGATCAGCTGACTGGACTCTGAGAAAAAAAAGGGAGACATGGGAGAAAGCGCGAGTTGAGTCTGCTTAGTGGAGTCCAGCGAGCAGCAGGGAGGGAAAGCAAGAAACAAGGCAAAGGACAGAAAGCAGTTGAGGACAGGAAGAGAGACAGAGGGAGGGAGGGAAGGTCTTGAGGAAGGGTGGAGGTCTGGGCTGAGGGAGGGTGCGAGATGAGTGCTGTGTGTTGTAGCTCTGCTCACTGACGCTGCTGACTGTGTGTGTCGCTGCAGGCGCGGTTGAAGCTGGAGAGACGTCTCGCTGGACGGAGGAGGAGATGGAGATCGCCAAAAAAGGTACTGCTTGACTTTTACTTCATTTCCCGAACTCCCCATCCCCCCTCCCGCTCCTTCTCTGCCTCTCGATTGGCTCTGCCCGATCTCATCTTCACAGGCACTTAAACTCACTTTTGCTCTACTTCTTTGATGGCTGTGGTTTTGCGTGTTTTCAGTTTTGTTGAAGTTTGTTCGGGTTTCATCGTTGAGCATCTTCTCTGTAGTGATTGCTCAGATCAGGACTGTACTGCAGAAGCTGCTGCAAGTGTTGTGACCGTTTGACACACTAGAAACTCTACAAGATGACCATTCACCTCTAGACACACAGAGAGAATGACTGGAATAGCGGAGAGTGCAAAGGTTCTGCTTTGGGTTAAAAGTTAAATGGGCTTTTAATGAAAAGGTTTTGAGCAAATCGTCTTGGTTGCATGTCACCCCAAAATATTCTCACTAAAAAAAAGTTGTTGTTGTTGTTATTTTACTAACAGGAACACGTACCTATTAATGTAGTATGGCAACTTTTGTGACATTATTCTACTTTACATTTATACAAAATTATTACGATTACAAAAAATTTGATTTATACAAAAACGTATTGATTCATCTTTTATGTGAATGAATACCTTTACTTTGCAAGAACACATTAAACCTATCAAAAGAACGAGTTAAGACTTTTATAATATTACAAAAAGATTATATTTTATATTTATATTTTATATCTATTATAAAAAATCCTTTGTTCATTTTCCGAAACAAAATAAATAAAGTAGGATAACTTCTGAAAATAACAAAAAAAAAATTTAATTTAATTTACAGTAAGTTAATGGGAAAAAAACAACATTTTTGATCAAGTGCCACCCTGGTCTTTTTACCAAACTCCAAATTGTCAAATGCTAAATTTTATCCAACTATATTATAATCATACAATTTAATTTAAAGTAATGAACAATTATTTAACTGTTTAAATGGATTATTTTTGTTTATATTTTGATCATTTAAATATATTTATGTACTTAAAGACATTGCATTGCAAATAAACAATATACTGGGCACTTCCTTGATCAACAGTCTTCATCTGCATGTTTTACTTGCATTTGCAGCACGAGATGTGGAGTATTTATGATCAAATCATGAAATGTAACTGAAGTACACTTTTTTTGTTGTTGTTGTTTCCAATTACTTATAGCATAATTGGCCTTCAATACTCTTTTAAAGTATTAATATTATTATACTAAAACAGAAAATATTACAGTATTTTCATAAAAAAAATTTAATCCATCAAATTATAGGAAAGGTTAATTTAAATGGTCCTGAAGCTAAATCATATCAGTCCTAATGCATGCTTCACTCTTTCAAAATAAAGTTTTATTACTTTCTTTATATTTGGTGAATGTGACTTGGACATGATCTTGACAGCTTTCACAAGTTTCTCTAGAAACAGGTCTAGGTTCAGCTGCACTCTTCAGTCTGCAGCTCTGTCTCCACAGTCACTGACAGTGTGACAGCAGGAGGAGCGGGCAGAGGAAAAGAGTCTTCCTCTTGTGGAATGTATTCACTAGTTGGTGTTTTTGGCTGGTTGCATTAACACCCTGGAAAGAAGGACAGTGGACATTGGTTTTAACTTGCTTAACTCATGACATTTCTGAAGCAGTTTATGTATACTTACTGATCAACTCTTCTGAGACAATGTCATTATGGAAGTGTTGACACTATATTTATTTAACAATAGACTTTTCACATTGTTAGTAATGTATACCCTGAGATAATAAAGGCGCACTTCTGTTTTTGTGGTAAACAAGTTTGCACATGTATATTGATTAACAAATTTAAGTGCAATAAGTGTCTGAATTCCTAAAAAATTTAAAGCACTCACAGAATCATTAATGCACAATCTACCCTCAGGGCTTTTTAAAGCATCAGAGTTTGCAGAAGTGTTTTCAGGTCAGACTGCGGTCATCCAAGTGCATTCTTTGTGCTTCCTCTTACTTTGTGCTCTTTTTTTTGTCAATCCTTTATTTAGTAGAATGGAAGTTCAGTCCTCTGAGGAACAAACATGAAGGTGTGTGTGTGTGTGTTTGTGTCTTTTGTACAATCCTCTGGTGAGCCATCAATGTCGCTGCAAAGTTCAGTTTAATTGGAGGACAGTCCAACATGACGAACTCAGGAACAGAAGTGCAGTCTGCACACCGAGTTTCAGGATTTGTTTGGAGGAACTGTTTTGTATTCTGACGAGAACCACTGTAGCTGTCATGCTGACCTGAGAGGCACGCTGCTGTTTTCTCAAACAAAGGGTAGTGTTGAGCAAAAAATATAAAGCTCTTTAGTTTGATTTATTAAATCCCGCAACTTCTTTTGCTTGCTTTAACAGGCATAAACCAGGTTTACTCTGCCGCACAAGGCCAGTGGAGTGAGATAATAGAGAATGTCTGTGTAGAGAGAGAGAATCAAGGTCAGCATGAGTTATAAACCACTGCGGCTCAAGGTGGTCGATGTTGAACCTGTGATGTTTGCGGTGATTAATTCAGCACTCGTGGAATCATACACCACCACACACACTTTTGTTAGGAGTTTTGGGTTCTAGTTGATACTACTGTCCTTTGCTGCAAAGTGATTACAAAGAAGTTTTCATGGCCAAGGTAAAATTCCTGTCATTTCAAGGCATGTCGTTCTTAGTAGTAAGTGTTTAGCGGCTTTGAGTGGTTAGGGGATAGCAAGGCCCTTAGATGGGCTGGTTAAAGTGTATGCATGTATGTATGGAGAAGGTGAAGGCCTCTTGAATTCCTTCTTGTTGTCTGGTGCATAAGTTCAATACAATGTTTTGTGAAGTAATGTAAGATTTGACCATCAAAGTTGTCTTTTCACTGTCTGGTACTGATATAAAAATATGCTAACGGTGCTGGGGAGGAAATTAATTATGAATAAATGGGTCGGTACAGAACCTCCTCTTGTCAAGGACTGGATAATCCTAATTAAAGAAACCATAATTATGGAAAAGATTAGACATATATTAAAAGGAAAATCCAATTCATTTCAGAAGCTGTGGAAAGCTGTGAATTCTTAACTGTGCACACCGTGATATTGTAATATTGTTTTGAATTAGACCACACTGTTGTTGTTTTTTCTTCTGTTTTTTTCCCCCTTCAAAAATACTGCATACTGTTTATGTTCTACTCATTGCAGTGTATACAACTCATTCTGAAAAATTCAATTAATATATATATGCTAACACCTTAGATTAGGTAACAAAAATCACTTTTAACTAGTTTTGTATTAGCATGCATATTTGTAACATGTTGGCCAAGGCTAGCTTTAAAGCCTAGAAATATTGGTCATTATAAAAATTTTCTCATCAGACATCTTTTATGTTTAGTTGCAGATTTATGCTAATTAGTAAAAGTTGTAAAAACCAGACAGTTTATTATTTGTTTAAACTACTGGATTACTTTATCAGATATTGTCATTATATTTTATTTATCAGAGCAATAAGGAGGAATAAATTTTACCCTTATGACCTGATCATTTATCTCTCTGATAAACATTGTGCATCCCTAATATTTGAGTTTGAATATGAATTTAAAGTTAGTCTTTTGCAGTGTTACAGTCAAGAGCCCAATATTTACCTTGTCCTTTCACGTAAGAGCAGGTGCAGCCATTGGAACCTTAGTGGCTTGAAACTGCTGGTCTCACTGGTCTCATGGTTTTTACAACTTTTAATCCATAAAATTTAAACCACAAATATTTTAGGCTCATTATGCAGTCTGATGTGGTAAACTGGTAGTTGCCCATTATATATACTTTTTAATATACAGTCATAAACGCTTTTTTATAGAGCAAGTAGTTTCACCATTTATTGCTGTTATTCCTAGTCATTTCCCCAGGCAGATGAATTAAAAGCCCAACAATCTTAGTGTGCTCCAAGAACCTTCATCTTTAAACATGGAAAAACAAATATTCTAGTTCTCTTGGTAGGCAACATTTAGAGGTTTGTTAACAGTATACCATGGTATTGGGTTTTAAAACTACCCCTAAGTAGTTTTAATAAAGATTAAAGGGAAAATTTCAACACGTTTGTACAAGATGGTCACTGACATTTTGCTGTGTTGACCAACATGAATGTTTAGTTTGTGAAGAATGAATGTTTACAGACAACACCTGTTGATAGATCATAATATCTGATTTCTTGACCTAATAATGTTAATTGATTTGTTTCTTGTGCAACCTGGAGTAATTATCTCTAATGTGTCTTCCTGTGAGATACTAAGAAATCAGGCTGCTTCTGATCATCAGGAGTTTAGCTAATTGGGCTGCTACAACCTCGTGGTGCCCTGCACATCCTGCCTTAACAAGTTCATCCATTCTAGCTAAGCTTGCAGGATTATCTGCACCACCGAGGCAGAGCAAGTGGCACAGTCACTGCATGAAGCCCAGCAATCTTTCATGCTTTTAGATGGTGCCCCTGAAGTGAACAAGTTCTTGTCTTCACTTGAAAATGGAACCCTTTTGGAATTTTCTTTTGGTTACGACCAGTCTTTGCTACGACAACCAGTTACAACCAGTTAGTTTGTAACTAAGGGTTTGTTGCATCTGACTGCAGGTACATATTTTTCTGTTCATTCATAATGTTACCTGTGTTTCTTCTTGTGCACAGGTCTGGTTGAACATGGCAGGAACTGGTCAGCCATTGCTAAGATGGTAGGCAGTAAGAGTGAAGCTCAATGTAAGAACTTTTACTTCAACAACAAGAGGCGATACAACCTAGACAATCTACTACGGCAACACAAGGTACAGGTACAGGTCCAGCTTCATGGAGTACTTCTACTAATCAAAAAATTACTGCAAAATATAAACAGTGATAACATGTTGTTAAAAATAGCATTAATTTCTTATTTAATACACATTTAAATCTTGTAGAAGTTTTGTATTTCTATTATCTCTGCAGGTTAATGTCTTCTGATAGTAATCTTCTGATTTTTGTTCCTCTCATGTTGTTGTGTGCAGGGTTCCCGCCGGCTTCGTGGAAATCGAGACCCCTCGCAGAGCGATCCAGTGCCTGATGACGATGAGGAGAGTGACGGTATGATCTACATCTGTGCATTAATCTCTCTCAACAAACTCTCCAAAGCCCATCGCTGTCAATCTCTGTGACCTGTGAACCCAGAGTCCGATCAAGCAGAGAGCAAGAGAAGCAGCAGGGGTCAAAATGGAAAGAGAGCAGAAACTGAGCGATTGACACAGAAAGGGAGGGATGAAGTGAGAGAGCAGGAGTGCAGTGTGCTGACCTGTCTGACTGCAGTGCGTTTGATTCGATCTGACAGCGAAACCCCAGACCGCGCTGCACTGCCACAGAGGTCAACATCCTCCCTCTACTGCTGTCTGGATGCTTAATGAGTGAGAATCAGGCAAATGAGTAGGGGAGGGTGGATGAAAGAGAAGGGAAACAAGCGAATAAGAGATTGGAAATGGAGGGAATGTGAAGAAGGGATAAGAGATCTGGACTTGCTCTGCCTGCCACGCTCGCTCTTATATAAGCGTTCCCTGGCTTTAAAGCTTCAAAAAAAAAAAAAAGTTGCTGGAGGAAAACAGAGTGCTTCTGCAGAGTAGGTTTGATCTGTGTTCTGTTCTTCGGGTTTGGTTGTGGGTGATACTCTGTCTTACAGCATGACTTGGAGTCTTTTATGTAGTTCTGTAAAAGGTTCATACCAAGTAACTTCCATTTGATAGGCAGTTATTTCTTTTGAGAAGAAAATTTGCCAATTCAGGGCCCACAATACCAATCTACAAATGCATTTCAGAGCTCTTGAAGCAACATTTAAACAATCAAATTAAAGAACAATAATAATCGTTAGTCTTCTATGTCCCATGATCTTTTAGAAGTCATTCTAATGCAGTGATTTTATGAAGCGATGCTCATTTCGGCTAATTTTGCCAACGTCAACCACCACTCGTTAACCGAATATTAACAGTTTACTTGTCAGCTTAATATTAAATTGTTATTTAATAATAATTTTTGGGGCCATGTGACTTAAAATAATTGACGTGTCTATTTTGTGTCTGACACATTAAATATTGCATTTCAAAATGCTGATTTATTTTACATGCGAACATATTAACAACAGAACATAACTTAACATAACGTTTCACTTAAATGACATTTTTGAATTACAAAATGAAAACACTGACTGAATCCTTTTTAAGGACTAGCACAGGGTGTTTTTTCCCATCATGTTTTTTTTCTCGTCAAATAAAGATATCAGGCTACATTAAATCGATTGCTCCTTGGAAAATATTAATTTAACCAATACTCCTCTGTTATTCTTGTATCATAAACATCTTTGTTTTTTTACCTCTATATTACCTATCTTAGTTGATATTTTATAAGAACTGTCATTTTGCAAATGGAATTATTATTAATAACTGTCATTTTGCAAATGGAAAAAAGGTTGGTTTGTTGGTTGTAAACAAAATCATCACAACAATAGCCTGTTTGTTGTGTTTATGAGCGGTGCTGGAGCACACTCTAATAGAGAGAAAACTCTGAGGCTCCAACTTGTGGCCAGCTTGTTTCCAAAGCAGCGCACATTTTCAAAAGTTTTTCCTCTTCTTTCTCCAATTGTGAAAATAAACAGAAGTGTTTATGACTCAGATATAGGACAGAGGCAGTCAGCATCAGCGCTGGTTTGGCATCAACTCGTCTGTGACCCGCAATATTCTTCCATTTTTCTTCTTTGACAAATATGTCTGTAAGCATGTGTGGTTGCATGTGTTCCTGTCCTGCGAGTTAATTATGTGTTGCACATTTATGTAGCCAATTAAAAAAATAAAAAAAAATAAAAAAAAAATATATAAATATATATATATATATATATATATATATATATATATATATATATATATATTCAATCATTTACCTGAAACTATTAATCTGTTAAGAACACACCCTTTCGGTTTACTGTGAATCGGTTATTATGAGCATCCCTAATTTCATACTCAGGAGACTTTTTTTGATGAATACAAAATAAATGTTGCAATGTAAAGAAAAAAGTAATTATTTATGTAAAAAAATAAAATTTAAAAAAGCAGTGACTTGCTTTTACTTTTTACTGAACATTTTAGTAGTACTCTTTCATTTTTAATTCTGCAGGACCCTGCTGCATTATAGACCTCATTCACATTCTGTTTTCTGTAAGCGCAAGCTGCAAGGCTTCTACCCTGGTCTGCTGTCCTGTCATCTGAGAGATGCTGCTTTCTTCTGTTCTCCTCCTTCTCTTTCCCTCAAACCTCCCTCTTTCTCTCACCCATCTGCTTTTTGAAGTAGCGGTTGCTGACACACCTGGAGCAAAGCAGGTTAGCCTTCACCACTCTCCAGGAGTGGGACAGAGAGACAGATAGACTTTGAGAGTGGCAGAGAGTGTCCATACGGCAGGAGGAGGCAGGAATAATAGATGAGAGAGAGAAGGATAGTTGCTTTCTAGTTGTTGAATGTGTGTTGCTCCTTTGGCTTTTTTAGGACAACTTTGCTCTTTGTAACCTGCAGGCAGGAGGAGTTTTGTGTATTGCCTGTTAGTGTAGAGATGCAAGTTTGAATTTTTTTTATTTATTTATTTTTTTCAGAAAGTATGCTTTCAATTGATCAGTGAAGTGACAGTAAAGACATTCATGTTCCTGATTTCTTGAAGTTTGCATTCTTCAAGGAATCTAGGAAGCATACATCGTTTTCAGTTTTTATATTTTACAATATTATATTTTAACTTTTTCATTAAATCAATGCATACTTGTTGAACCTAATAGACTACTCTCAATAGGGCTGCACAATATATCGTTTCAGCATCAATATCACAATGTGTATCAGCAATAATCACATCACCGGATTTACAATGTTGAGTATGGATTAAAGTTGACCAGGTGCCACAAAACACTAAGATTAACCAAAATAAAGGGAAGGTTTATCATTTGCATGTGATTTTAAGGCCTGTGACGGAGCATGTCAATAGAGTTTAAAACATTTGGGCACAAGAAATTATGACTTTTGGAGGCGTAAAAAAGATTTGTTGTATTTAATTATTTATACAATGAAGATGACTGTGTTGATTTACATTTACAAAAAAAACAAAAAATATGTTTCTTAGAATAATTTTTTTGTATTGTTTCATGTCCAAATATCTGCATTTCAAACCTAAAACAAAATTATTTTGCTTACCACACTGGCAGATTATTAGGCTTGTTTTGGGGAAAATCTCATTTAATTTTGACTCGTTGTTTCTTAAAGTGCAAAAAAAAAAAAAAAAAAGTATATTTTTTAGATATTTTGAAAAGAGACAAGGAAACCCAAAATATTTTCAATTGTGATAGCCAGGGTGCGAATTATACATTGACAATCGAGGGGTCAAGATTTTTGTTTATGTTTGGTAAATACCTCAGTGAATCAAATTTATATATTTAATTCAATTACATTTAATTTGTTATTCAAACTTGTTATTAGGCTGTGTTTTCAGTGTTTAATGGGATATTGAGTGGTTTTCAATGGCATTTGTAATATTAAATAAACGGGGACAGGTTTGCCTTCTTGCACCTATTAATAGATAACTATGACAGACCTCACAATTTTTATTTTACTGTTTAACTTCCATGTGCGAGCCAGTGTAGAATAAAATACAAACTATGCATTTAGTTTTACTAACACCTACAAACACATTTTTTAAAGAATCATGTTTTGTGAGCACTTACACTGTCTGTCGGTGCTCTAGATTTGCCAATTTTAAATTGATGAATTTATATTTTTGGTGCAAGCATATAATTTTAATATTAATATTATTTAAGAGACAGATCAGAGCAAACTACTTCTTAACTATTAAAGGACAGACCCAAGGGGGAACATTAGACCCCCAATCCCCCTGAAATTCACATTCTGGTGATTAAACTTCCTAGAAAAAAAGTCAGCAGTGTAAATGCAGAAATGTATGTTTGTCTATGTACAGTGCTCAGAGTAATCAATTACAGCCCATTTTGAAATTGAATATTTTTCTCAGTAAATTCAGGCAATGTATTTTAGTGCATTTAAGCAAAACAGATTTATTAAACAAATATATTTATTAAAAGTTAGATTTTAGTCACCAAACATATTTAGAAATTGAAAAATACTACAATTAAATTTAAGCAAAGTCTCGCAAAAAAAAAAAAACAGCCTACAAAATATTAATAAAATTTAGCATTTTTTTCCCTCTTTTTTTTATTTATTTGTATTTAATATTTCTCTATAACCTATACATTTGGGTGTACTAGTTTTTAGACCGTTATCGTAAGTTATTTTGTTAGATATGCTTCAGATTTGGCTTCAGTACTGACTAACCTAATGCACAAATATAATATTGTATAGCTTCCTGTTAAAAATATGAATTGAGGGTGTATCATCATCACATGCTTACAGTGGAAAGGTAGTGCTGTGCTTAGCCAAAGGATGTTTGCTGTTCAGAAGTGCATTAGCTTGATTGCGTGATGCCGCATGCAGCTTTGGTGACCTCAAATGCCACCTCTGCTCTGTCACGGCAGGGTTGTTCTGCTTTTCTGCCTTTGTGTTTTTGTAGCTGAGATTGAAATAGATTGGATTTGATCTTCTCTGTCCTTTTTACACAGTTGAATGAAGAATTTCAAGAGGATGTGATGGCTCAATCATACTCTCCTTCTTCCCTTTTTCTCAGGTCCAGATAACAGTTCAGACACAGAGAGTGCGCCTTCTCCAACTCAAACTGATCCCTCCAAACCCTCAGAATCACTAACTCATACCAGTTCAGCAGTGGATGGCGGATCAGACCAGGACGTCACTGCAGCCAAAGGCCCGGTGGCAGATGCCAAAGGCCAGGAGTCTCCATACGGTGAGCTGAAGGTTAAAATTGAGAAGAGTCCAGAAGGAGGAGCCGGAGATGTGCTTCCTCAGGATGATCGAGCACGCTCAGCTTATGAAATGCAGATCCATCCAAAGAGCGAGCCGCAGGATGTGGAGATGACTTCTCCGAGCACTGATAGGGCACAGGTGCAGGTCAAGACGGAGCCAGAGGTCAAGGACAAGGAGGAGAGACAGGGGGAGCAGCAGCACTCCGACAATGACTCCAGTGCCACCTGCAGTGCCGACGAAGATGTGGAGGCTGAACCTGACCGACAGAGGTGAGAAACTAAGGGTCAGATTATATTATGTTAGGGGATGTAACCATTCACCTGGTTTTACGATTTAATACAATTCACAATAATAAGCTCATGATACGATTTAGTCATGATTTTTTAACAAAATTATGTGAAACTTCACCTTATTTTAAGGTGAAGAGTCCTTAAATTTTTTTTTTAAATGCTGCACGTTTTTTGCTAAATAATATATTTTCTGCCATAACTAAATTGCTATTCTAATCTTAATTATTTTAAAACAGATCTTTCTAAAAATGTTTGAGTAAAAAATGTTTTTGTGCTTTTCTCGTGCACTTCACTGCTGTTATTTTGCTCTGCTGCCCCAACCTCTTGCTTGCCCCTGAGGTGCAAGTAAAGCATGTTTGCGCCTGTGAATACAGCGTCCCGTCTGTTCAAAACAGAGTATCATGGATCATGATTCGTTCAATGTTTCTATTAGTTTGAATCATCACATATTTGAATCATTTTTCAACTTGCTCACGGTGAATCGTTACATCTCTAATTATGTTATGAGTTTTTTTTATCCTAGGGCTTTTTTTTAATTGTGAATGGTTTCATAAGGTTCCCCTGTAGCTGCAGGTTAATTTGTATAAATGTTGTGCAGTATCTCCAGCTGCAATGTTCCGCTGCATGAATCATGAGTTTTATTCATTAATATCGGAAGCAGTGGTTCTTAACTGGTTTAAAAACGTAATCCCATGGTCAATATGTCAAGAAATAAAAATAAAAAACTGTTGTATTTGTGTAACTTTTATTTGTCATGTAGAAGGAATATGACTATCATAATTTTCATGTCTGACACAATATATTGCACAGCAGTATTTATTTGTATTTTTACCTAGAAATTCAAGTCATAGCCTACATTAATGCTTTGTAACGTCGTATCAGATTTCACATACACTACCAGTCAATACTTTGGAAACTGTAGGATTTGTTAATGTTTCCATGTACATCAATTTCATTTGACCGAATGTCAATAGTTTTTACACGCATATTTTAAAGTTCAAGTTGTGCGTCACAAAAGCACCATACAGCTCTCTCAAAATGCTTACATATATACATATATATATTTAAAAACCAATGCATATGTAAAATTCCTATCAGTAAAATCAACTGAACTCAATGAAATATTAAATGCAGTTGCTTTGGACAAACGTGTCTGCCAAAAAGTTTAATTATTATTATTAAATTTTGGTGTAATTCAGTAAATTGTTTGCCAGACAAATAAAAATCTGTGTCATTGGTACAGCTGGGAAAACTAATTCTCCTTTTCCATTGTCAGTCAATCTCCTTCATGCCATTTCTCCTCTACAGTACAGAATGCGTTCAGCACGCCAAATTGACATAAATCTTTGATCAATATGAAGTGCTGTACTGTATTTTGGTTGTATGTAAGTTTTCGACCCCAACAAACCTCATAATGTAGAGAAAACATTCCATCAAAGGCACCCACCGTAGCACCCAAATGGCAGAGGAAGATGATAACCATCGACTTCTGGACATGCTAAAGGAATGTAGAGGGTTACGTTTAAACGAGAGAAAAGTGTTAATGTCTGTCTGAGAAAATAGTGTTGTGAGGAGTTTCACAGCCTTAAAACATCTATAATAATTGTAAGAAAGAAAGCAAACTACTTCGCCGATTTCAACTACTGTGGGTTATTTTTAGAACGTAACTCCCAAGATTAAAGAAGGACCACTGTAATGCACTTTCAACAAAAAAAAAAGTTTTTGTGCATTTCTAATTCCTTTGTTGTTGCATATGTTCCAAAACCCATTTAGTATTTAAACGTTTAGTAGAATATCAGTAGCTAATGCACTGTTTTTTTTGTTCTTCCCTTGGTAGAATGTACTCTCTGGAGAAGCCATCACTGCTTGGTCCTTCAGGCTCAGTGGTCGTGTCCTCAGCCAAACTCCTCAACATGCAGCAAATACAGCAGCGGGCCGCCACCATCCCTCCTATGGTCAGTGCCCATAGCCTCTACCCCCACTTAGCATTCAGATATGCCCCTCTGGACAGAGACAGGGTCCAGCCACCCCGTCATGTGAGTCCCACCTCCATCTCCACCTCTGCAGATCACGCTCTGTGATTCGCTTCTGCAGCCTTCAGCAAACAAATCAGCAAATGCCAATTGATTTTCCACACTGAAATCATGACGAGTGAATATTTGTTGGGCTGATAAGTTGTGCTGTTTGGAGGTCTGTCTGTTGTGGTGATTTTGGTGTGGCTGTGAAATGGATTTGATATGACTGAGGCCCTGATTGGCCGTTCACAATGCTTGCCTTAAGAGAAATTAGCATCTTGTTGCAAATCAGCACCTATTAATGGGGTTAATTGGTTGTGCACTTTTAAATGATTTGTTAAAGTATGTCATTATATTTTGTTATATCAATAGGTCTGGCTTGTAATCGTTATTTGAATCCTCTCTGTTACTGAATGGTTTGTTTAGGTTTCAGCTTCATTTGGTCACAGTGGAGTACCTGGTGGTCCCATGAGCGGGTTTGCTATGTTCCAGCACCAAATCAAAGCTGTGCATGAGTCTGTGCAGGAAGACAAACAGAGACTAGACCAGAACGAGTCTGACCGCAGAACGCGTGTCACAACGCACAGCCCCACTGTACTGGACAGAGAAGGTGAGTCTCACGAAGAAAAACATTGCACAAAAACACTGGAGAAAAAAAACAAGACCCCACAAATCCAGCAGAAAGCTTACCTTCTGATAATTTAACCTTGTGCTTTGGTCAGTTTAGTCCGCTCAAGTGATCCATAATTTCCTAAAGATGCCATAAACTGCATTGATTTACTAAGTTAAGTTGTTCTTTTATATCTACATAGTACATATATGGCTTAGGTAAGTTCAAAAAATCTCCAAAATAGCTTTATTTGCTCATTTATTATGCCATAAAAACCCCTAGAGTTGTGAATTAAGGTTGGGCTATGTCGACCAATTTGGCATCGTACAATGTCTAATGTAAAACATCACGATGGATGATGGCACCGTCATCATAGGCAGAGGTGAATTAATGATTTATGAATAATTAATTAATTCATAAAAAATAATTATTTATAGCCTACCGTTTCAACTGCCTGACCCTCATGGTCTTTGTTTTACCCATAAACAAATCATAAATAAATAAAGATAAGTTGCACACAAATTACCACCTGTCACGTTTGAGATTGGTCGGTAAAAAAGCTGCACTACCAACAGTCTCTGAGGTTTTCACTTAAATTATTAAGTACAAGTGTGAAAGTGAATGACTAAAGCAGTGTACTAATGCTGTGAAACGTTGCCTGATAGATTCAAAAGATCAAAGAGTCGTTAGATAGAGACAAGATTAATTAAATATCACGTTTGACAACTATAGTGCGAAGCAATCCAACGGTACATCCTTGATAAACTGGCCGACGTGCACTGCTCTTTGTAGCTCAGACGAGCGCATGACTGACTGACTGACTGACTGACTGACTGACTGACTGTGTGTGTGTGTGTGTGTGTGTGTGTGTGTGTGTGTGTGTGTGTGTGTGTGTGTGTGTGTGTGGGGTCAAATGATGTGCGTTTTCAGCGGATGGAGGGCTGTTCAGAAATTCTAGGTTAAACACGGTGTGAATGTGGATCATTTTCGTTCTAAAATGACATTTTAATACTGAGACATAATAATGTAAATGGGGCCTAAGTGTGTATTTTTCATGAGTGTGTTTGCAAGGGGTGCCGGGTGGAGGATCAGCGATGCGGGCTCAGCATCGTGCTGTGTATTGGCCATCGGCTGGACGATGGCATCGTCTATCAGCCTAGCCCTATCGTGAATATTAATGAGGTCTCCTCTGACACTGCCTTCTCTCTCTCTCTCTCTCTCTCTCTCTCTCTCTCTCTCTCGCTCTCTCTCTCTCTCTCTCTCTCTCTCTCTCTCGCTCTCTCTCTCTCTCTCTCTCGCTCTCTCTCGCTCTCTCTCTCTCTCTCTCTCTCTCTCTCTCTTACATTTTTATTACAAGTATTAAAAGTTGATTAATCAATTATGAGAAAATTAATTGCTTTAAAAGGTATTAAAAAGTCTTAATTGCGTTTTTATGAGGTCTTAATTTTTGGTTATGCGTTGTCCAAAGTGTGTGACTCCAAAAAAATATATTTATATATATTTAAATTTATTTATTTTCCTTCCAATATTAGCAATGGTGTGCTCGATTTGTGCGATTGGTTCAGGCCGGGGCACGTCTGGCCAAACTTTGTCTGGGTGATGTAAAATAATTTGTGACAAACATAGGAAGGTGATGTGACGATCTCCACATGTAGCGAAACCATAAAACGAAATAGACGGCAAATGTAAAATGAAAGGTTTCATACACTTGGTTGGAGAAAGACGAATTTAAACAGTGGCTGAAGCCTGTCACTAAAAAATAACCGTGTAATTTATTCTTTCAAGCTTTGTTTCCTCCGAGCTTATCTGAGTTCTGTTGCATGGTTGTGCTCTATTGATTTATTTAACTACAACTGTTTATTAAGTTAAAGGTTTTATACTGATTGACTGAAGGTCTTTAAAAAGTCTTAAAGCTTTTAAAATTACCTTAAGGATTCCTGCATAAACCCTGTAAATGTAAAGGCAAACTTTATATATTCTTTGTTATATTTTAACTAAAGTGAGAGGTAGGGATGTAACGGTATTGTAAATACCGTCATACCGCAATATTAATTTTTTTCGATATTACCGTAGTCGCATGACTCGGTAAAACTATAGGTCTTCTGAGAAAATTTTCTCATGCGAATGAAGCGAACGGGAGGTAACAGAAACTACAATTCCCATCAGCCCAGGCTTGGCCATAATCCCTTGCGGTCTGTTGTCGCTACAGATCCAGTAACGCGGAAATGGAGTGTGCTGCTAGAAGCGGGGATCAAAAAGAGCTGGAAAACCCTAAAGCGGGTGTTGTCACCGCGCGTACTGAATAGTGGTGTTGTCGCACGAGTTCTTATCAGCTGTGTTGTCGCGCGCGTACTGAATATCGGTGTTGTCGCGCGCGTACTGAATATCGGTGTTGTCGTGCGAGTTCTTATCAGCTGTGTTGTCGCGCGCGTACTGTAAAGCAGGGACGGAGGATATGTCGCGTCGCGGGGGCACTTTTGATCATTTTGGAAGGGAACTTTCTATCCAAGACTAAAAAAAAAATGCACGTCACAGGATGAGCCCTGTGTGTGCACGTGCCTGCAAGTTGGGGAATACGTCCCCCAATACGATAATAATCAGTCATGGGGACTGCAGAAACACAGCACACTGTTCAGATTGATGCAGACATGAGATCTCTATCTCACTCATGGTTTGTCCTCTCAAGTGGGGGAAAGACAATGCACAACGTTACCCACTGCTGTCAACCTGGGCCAAGTCATATCTCTGTCCCAGAAACCTCAGTCCCAAATGAGAGGGGTTTTTCTGTTGCAGGGGACATTGTAAATACCCAGAGATACCAGCTTTTACCAGATTATATTTATATGATAATTTTCCTTTAAACCCATCTCTATCTAAGTGAGTGAGTGATTAAATGTTGAATGTGATGAGTTTTCAACACTACTAAATTGAAACTTAATTTTTTTAAATGGTTTATAATTTTTTTGTTATTAAAATTGAAGTTCCTGTTTCAAAGCTTACAGATAGATGACTAATTTGTATGTCATTGACACTTTTGGCACTTTTTTGGAGTATTTTCATAAGTTTTGTTTTTTCCTGTAAATGATTCATTAAATACCGTACCGTGACATTCATATCGAGGTATTACCGTACCGTGAAATTCTGATACGTTACATCCCTAGTGAGAGGTATTCCCTTTCATTAAAAAATGGCTGAAAATGTGTTATGCTTGTGCATCGCTTGCTGCTTTTTTGTTTTTGCTTTTTGTATTGCTCACTTTGAAGTCACTTTGGATAAAAGCATCTGGTAAATGAAGGAATGTAATTGTCAATGCTTGTCAAAACAGGCTGTTCCTGAAAGAGCATAAAATGCTCTTCATTTTAATTGCTCGGATGTCTCATTAAACATGTCTAAAAAATTCTAAAACGCATCTGAGATCAGCTAGAAAGCAACTGACCAGGAGAGCTGTCTCTGAGGGGTAGAGCGCAATGAACAATACAGAAATGAGGTTAGCAAATCACCCCTGAGACAAACAGACAATAACACACAAGCAGATGGACCACTGCAAAACAAATAGAAAGTAATGCGCCTGTAGTGGCTCTGTTTTGTCCTCCCATGCACTCTCGCTCGCTTTTTACATGCCAAAAAGTTTGAGCAAAGACATTGATGACAAAGAGAGAAAGAGACATTTTTCTATTTTTCCTCCTCCCCTCTCTTTTATAATGGCTCTCCAAAAGAGATATTTGAAGGGTGTTGAGCACGCCGGGAGAGAGACAGTGGACTTTGCTCTTCTCAGCTAAGAAGCACAGTGCTGTTTTTGATAGAGCCAGACAGAAGCAGCCAACCAAAAGGAACATTCGGTCACTCTCTTGAAGTGATATCCACTTGAAACAGCAAGTTTTGCTCAACCTCTTCCTCACGGACCAGCTGACTGTAGCTCTAAAAAGCTGCCGTGACATTTTGCTTGCCAAAACATTTACAGTGATAGCACTGAATTAACCTTTCTATATCTATACATGTGAATATTGCTTGAAGTGTGGTTTAAATGAGATGTTTTCATGTCCAATAGCTTCCCTTATAAAGTGCACTTGTTGTTTGGTGTTTTTCTTTGCATCTCTTTTTGGTGTGTATGATAGTTTTTTCCCTCTGTGTCCTGCCTCAGGTAAACCGTTCGCTTATATGCCATATGACCTGAAACTGATGGAGCAGGAAGCTCTTGGTGGAGCAGGCAGACCGGGCTCTCCATACAGACTTTCTCCTCGGGAGCCTAGCAAAGCCTCACCCCAACCTGATGGCAGTAATTCTGCACGCTACAGTGTTCCTCCAGGTAAGATTCTCCACAGTTTTTTTTTTTCACCTCCTTTCAGTCAGATAAAGGCATCAAAATGAACACTGACAGTCATGCACCGTTTCACAAATACTACAGGCAACATGAGCATCAGTGACAAAATGTCTCAGTATGATTGCTTGAGTGGCCTTTTTATTCCCTAAGCAAATATTTATGACCATATTTTATATTGTATTATAGTTCAAAACCTTGTCTATAGCTATGTTTCCATCCACCTATTTTTGTGTATTTTGGATATGCGCATAAAAATCAGTTGATGGAAACATCAAGATGCGCATCAACAGAAAATGAGCATAAAAAAATCTTTGCGCATAACAGAGTAGGATAAACTTTTTATTTTGTAAGAAAAGATGCGCAAAAACTACAATGGAAGCACTTTTACTCAACAAATTCCAGCATGCGCATTAAAAAAGGTCATGTGATTTTATTATAAGAGATAAAAAAAAAGAAATACAATGTGTGTGAATGGAAGAACCAGCAGGCTGAGCACACTGTAAAACATCTGAAATGTAGTTTTGTTTTTTTTAAAACGCCTCAACCATTTCAGTATTAGTGGTTTTATTTTATTAATGACATCCAGAATCAAGAACGTCTGTGCACTGCGTCTCACACCCTTAAACAACACCACGCATTCATTGCGTGTTGGTGTTGTCTTCTGAGGTGTAAAAAGATTCACACAGCTTCTCTTAGTGCCTAAAATTCCCTTTTTTCCGTTAATATTTTGGCGCCAGTTAATCAGGAAGTGACAATTTTGATCTCTGTGACTCATTGGATGGAAACGCTGCTTTATTTGCACGTCTTTTATGCGATATTCCAGTTTTGCACATAAATTTAACTCGCATTTTTGGATGGAAACATTGCTAATGACAACAGGGTTTTCTGTCACACCAAAGCTGCACTTCTGTTTTATTTTAGCCATTCTAAATTGTTGTTTAATCCTTTGCCAATACTGAACTTTCAGGAGACATCACTCAGCAGTCTTCAATCTTGCAAAAAAATATGTGAAAAGGAAACTTTTCTCTGACAATATAGCCGTTTAATTTCTTTACTGTATAAAAGTATTGATGTACTTGATACATTGATCAGAGTCTTAATATACAAATTTTTAATACTACTAATATATTATATTATATTATATTATATTATATTATATTATATTATATTATATTATATTATATTATATTATATTATATTATATTATATTATATTATATTATCCCATTGTCACAGGAAAGATGTAGATATTTTTTTACTTATAAACAACTTTCACCTGCTGTACTTTTGCTTTGGTTTGTGTTTTGCCTGTTCTTTGGTTTTGAGCTCTTTTACAGTTTGTTGTCTCTCTTTAGAATTAGTTGGAAGACACTTTTGATACAATTTTTGGCTAAATGAATTGGTGTTAGGGATGCATGTTATATCGCAGGCCATATTGTTATCGGCCAATAAATGCTATTTTTAATGTTATCGTTATCGGTCCGATATCAAAATTAGGCTGATATCTTTAAGCCAATAGTCATTTTACAGAATTGCCTGCCTCTCGTTTTGTTCTTTAAGCTACTATTTTTATGCAACAGTCAAGTTGCAAGGTTTTTTTTACCCAAAGAAAAGGAAATAATTATTTTTGTGATATCAGAAATATGGGTCTATATAATCACCTTGCATTTTTTTAATTATCGTTCTTTTTTGCAGAGTGTGCTATTCTAAGATCTAATCAAACTTTTATGAAGTTTTTAAAATAAAATCAGTTGTATAATATATTTATCTGCTTATATACCGGTTATCGGCCTCCAAATCTAAAGATTTATCGATATAGCCCCAAAAATCCATATCATTGCATCCCTAATTGGTTAAATTGTCTTGAACTATGGCAAATTCTGGACATGTCCAGTAAGAATTTTTTATGGTTAAATTTGCAAGTAAAAGAAAAATACATTGGACTATTTTGATCTTTTTCTTGATTGATGCTGAAAACTTTGGTGTTAGATCATTTAATACATTATAATATTTTTGTCATACGTTCTCTGCTGTGTGGTTGTTGTTCTTGTTTTACATCATTGTTTTGTAGCATCATACAGATGGGTACATGAGTCGTGATGGGTTACTTGGTGCCCTTGTCAGGAGTATGTAATTTGACAGTGTTTAGTGTCGCTGATGAAGAGGCTCCTGCTTGTTTCAGAGGAACTCGCTTTATTTGTAGATTTGTAGCTTTTATTAGTCAGGTCAGTGAGTTTTTTTCCTGTAGGAAACCTTGAAGCTTTCACGAGGCACTGCACATGTGACTGATTCTCTTATCAGCCTTATCAGCCCTTTTACAACCTGGAAACCGTTCTCATGGAGACAGACAGACACGTATAGAGACTGCTCCATCATGGAGAGAGAAAAAAAACAAATACAACGCGTGTTAAGTAAACTGAAGGGTGTGTTAGCACTGCATCACAGGTTTATTCGTAAGGATGTTTTTGTAAAATTGTTAGGTTTGATGAAGAAATCTGACTTTAGACTTGGGTCCACAGTGACCTCTGCTTGAGGAGCTATATTGAGTTGAAGGATTGCTGTTTTGCTGTTGGCATTATTGATCAAAACTTTCTCTCAGTGTCCCACATACATGCTACATCAATAAGATGATAACTGCTGATGATGCAACTGTGATTGGGGGATTACTTTACATGGCGGTTCAAGAAAAACAATATCACAAATACAAACAGTAGCACTTTGGTATAAAGTCTTCAAGAATATCAAATATTTATCTTAGTTAGCATTATAATTATTGTAACTACTGTATTTTGTATTGTTTTTATTGTTTGTTTTTATGGAATTGTCCAAGGACAGGATAGTTTACTGGCGAGGCAGTGGCGCAGTAGGTAGTGCTGTCGCCTCACAGCAAGAAGGTCGCTGGTTCGAACCTCGGCTCAGTTGGTGTTTCTGTGTGGAGTTTGCATGTTCTCCCTGCCTTCGTGTAGGTTTCCTCCGGGTGCTCCGGCTTCCCCCACAGTCCAAAGACGTGGTACAGGTGAATTGGGTAGGCTAAATTGTCTCTAATGTATGAGTATGTGTGTGGATGTTTCCCAGAGATGGGTTGCGGCTGGAAGGCCATCCGAGGCGTAAAAAACTTGCTGTGGCGACTCCGGATTAATAAAGGGACTAAGCCGACAAGAAAATGAATGAATGAAGGATAGTTTACTACTACTACTACTACTACTACTAAATATCTCGAACAACACGAGTAATGATAATAAAATAATGATAATTAGAATTAATGGTTGTTTAAATTGCAATTTTATATATACTTTATATTCAGATGAAATGATGCAATATATAAAAAAAATGTTCACAATATAGTTTAAAAATTGTCAAAAGTTTGGGATATGGATGTTTTTGTTGTTGAGTTTGAAAACCATCTTATGTTCTTTAATAAGACATAAAAACAACAACATTATAAAATGCTCTTACAATTATTTTATAATATATATTTACAAAGGATTTTTATTCCTATGATGATCAGTAATCACTCTAACATGATGATATTTTAATATTTTCAAAATTAATAATATCTTTTTTTTTCTTAATAAATATTTATTTTATGTAAATATTTATTTATATTTATAATATAAATATTTATTTACTTTATATATTTTATGATTAGCAAATAAATTTACTGCAAGCTGGCTGATTTTTATTTATTTTTTTCTTTCAGACAGCATTTACTGACTTATAACTTTTGAACAATACCTTTTCTTTCCTAAATTCTTCAGTTTTGATAATGGTAATGAAATGCCACCAATATTCACTAAAACCTTGAACAAACATGACAGAAGCATAAGTGGAAGAAATATTTCCTCCTCTTTTTCTACATTCCTCAGAAAATCATAAAGCTATTTATTTTTGAGTGTTTTTTTTTTTTATACTCTCTCTGATAGAAGCTCAAAATGAGTTAACCGTGCACGAACTATAAAAGACACGGGTAGAAATCTGAACTGTTAGTCCCAAGTCGTTTTTATGTGTGCATATGATTCATCTTGAAACTCACTCTGGCAACAGATAAGCTATTACAGCATGAGCACATCACACCCTGCACTACAGAACCACAGAGACCACCTGATCTCATCTCTGCTTAACAGACTCATGCTTTTTACACCGCATGAGACAGGAGTTCACGACTCAATATTTCAAAAGAGGTGAGTGAGAGCCCGTGCTATCTGGGAAGTTAGAAAGGGGAAGAAGTGCTTTTAGGTGATGGGAGACTTCATTCCTATCCACGCTAAAAGCTGCAGATTTCACTCAAGGCTGTGTTTCTTTGTCAGCCTTTATTTAGGGTTTAGTTTGAGGCACTCTGCATTTGGGTCAGCTTTCTTTTAACCAGCTCTACATTTTGCAATTATGTCAGATTTTTGAGTGTTTCTTTTTTTTTTTATATATATATATAGTTTCTCTGATTTGTGAAAGGTCAAATGCAGGCTATGTGTAGGAGGTGTGAAGTATTGAGCAGTGAATCTGACCTGCAAGACCTGGAGTCGACATTTAAGCAATACGGTAATAGAGGTCATGCTGTTGTATAGTCATGACTAAAGATCATTGTTAGGCGCGAAGCTCAGCACAGTTCAGAATACAGCACAGCCAGGAGTGATTTGTTGGTTTTAATCAGAATATGAGTGAGTATGTGGTTTATTCTTCAAGTCTCACACAAGACATATTTTGGGCTTTACCTGAACTCAGGGTGCATCAGACATATCAACACAAGAGGAAAGAAACACCTATTTGGAATTATAATGGTTTTCGTTCTGGTGGTGCACCATTTTTTTTTTCAAGGAATTGGATGCAGAAAGACATGTATACGCTCAAAGATATTTCTTGTTCTAATGGCATATTAAGTTTTCAAGAACTTTGTGAGCAGTATGAAACAGACTCTTCTTCTCTCTTTTTATGTTTGTGATTAAGATTGGCCATGAAGTCCTGTGGGGTTCCCTGAGGGGGCAATCTTCCCAGTCATTCAATCATTGCTTGGTTTGATCTGTCCTCTACTAGTCATTTTACCTCATGGATGTACAGAAAGGCCTTGGAGGCTACAGCAAAGCATTAAGCTATACAGCACAGTTAGTAAACTGACTCTCAGCTAGAAGTGGGTGTCACAGACTGGGAAAGAGTATGGCAGAACATTTTTACTTCATCTAAAAATCTAATTTAATAACCTTTGTTATTGAACCTACTAGTCCTCGATCAAAATACATCGTATCAACACCTCCTGTAGTCCTTTCTGTGATCAATGTCCTGACCAGAAACTTGGATCTTTTTTTCAAATGACGTGGGAATGTGGAAAAGTACAACAATTTTGGAATGAGGTGTGTTATCTAGGCATGGAACGATAACCGGTTTCAAGGTTTACCGCAGTTTGGAAAAGTCAAGGTTTTAATACTGCTTAAATATTCTGTTATACCATTCCCAAGGTATATGTAAAGGTTTGTATGTGTTGTAAAAAAATATGGGTTTTTGAATCTAATGAAAATAGCAGAAGTAAATTTTAAATATTAACCTGACATGTTTACTTGTTTAAATTTTTATAAATATTTCTTAACATTAAATTATGTTCAAAGGGTCTTTTTTACCCAGACATTTTTTACCCAGAACTTCTTTTAGAGCAGTAATCTCAATACTGTGAAACTGGTATTTTTATTTAAGCTTATCATACTGTTAGAAAAACCTATACCTGCCCATGCCTAGTGTATTTTTATCTAAAATTATTGAATATCCTGTACCAGTAAATCCTTCTATTCTATTTCTGACTAATGATTCTACATTGAATCTTATCAAGCTATAAAAAGCTGTTTGGCTGGTTCGCTTAACTTCTACAAAAAAAAACTACTTGCCCAACATTCGCTCCACATTATTTGGACTCGTACAAGTTGTTGGTACAACTACAGGACATTATAATAATGGAATTATTCTCCACTCGAGTAAACTTGGTACAAATGAGTACATTAAATTGCTGGACATCAGCTGCTGACAAAATCGCCATGTTTATTGCACAAAACAGACATCAGGATCCAGAATGATTGCCTTATTTTGTATAATTGATACTTGATACTGTTCTATGTTTTTGTTTTTCTGTCAATTTCTATTTATTGTATACCCCAGTTTAAAGAGACCGCAGTGGAGGGGGGTGGAGGTAGTTGAAGTGATATATTTCATTATACTGTTTCTTCAGCCTGTTGAAGATGAAAGAAGGTTGACAGATAAAAATCCTAGGTGATTTAACTAAAGTAATGAGGAAGTATGAGTGTCTGTTTTACTCTTGTCTGTTAAATAGTGGATTAGAGGTTTGCCACCTTGTGGAGAAACGAGTCAAATCACATTTGCAAGCTGAGCATACGGAGTAAACATGGTTAAAAAAAAAAACAGTTTGTTGTTTTTCCACACTGTAATGACTTTTTAAGTTATGCCACATGCATTGTGCACATTCCCAAGCATTGCACTTTTAAACTAAATTACATTTAGGCTTTAGAGAGAAAGACTTGTCAGCTGTGGGGATAAAGAGTGATCCTCTTTTGCCCGCCTCCTTTCATCCCTTGTTCTTCTTATCCTTTCATTCCCACAGTTCTTCAGCCGGCACCAAACCAGGCAGTCCAGACTGTTTCAGATGTCCGCATGACGTTCTCTCGGCACAGGCCGCCAAACATTCCCTCTCCTCCACCCCTCATTCACACCTCCAAACCCACAGACAAGCCCTCCTTCATTCAAGGCGGCTCCATTTCGCAGGTAAGAGAATCAGTTTTTTGTTGTTGTTGTTTTTTTCTCTCAGTTCGACTTTTATAACAGTGATTTCTCATCCATGGATAATGTTTTTAGCTTCTTCAGGCTGTTAGTTGTTATTTAAGACTCGTGGTGCTTCTGCTGAGTTTAAATGCTTCCTTCATCTAATGGGATCAAGGCAGGGGATCAGGGGTTTTCCTGGTATTCAGTTCTGAAATGCTGTTTTCTTCTCACCATGTCCTGCAGGGTACGCCAGGAACATACCTTCCTCCTCAATCACACGCGGTGTACATACCCGAGGTGGTCAAGACCACAGGAGGGTCAATCTCACTCGGCTTGCCAAGACAGCAAGACCCTGCCAAACCTGGTGAGAGAGAGAGATTTGAGAGTATAAATAAACAGTCGAGCTCAGCTGAATGAAACACAATCCTTCCAAGTGCTTGTTTTGGTCGAGTTATGTTAAGTTTAGATGGTGGAAACCTCCCGCAGTCTGTGAAATGTGTATTTTGAACACCTGCTTATGTGTGTGTGTATGTTTAGTGTCATACATTAAGCAAGAGGAGTGTTCTCCACGTGGACAGAGTGCTCAGGCAGAGGGTCTCTTATCCAGAGCTCAGTATGACGGAGTGGTCAGAGGTGAGATGATCAAGATATACAATAAAATAACCAAAATCAAAAGTCAATGCTAGACATTCTTAACATATGAGAGTGTTTTGTCCTGTCTTTTCATTAAATGCAACAATGGCTTTCTGTCTATGTGACTCTAAATGTTTAATAATCAAGATGTAAAAGGATAATTTTTCATACGCTTGTACTCTAAACAATTGTCATTTTTATTTAAGTATCAAATTATGAAGATATAAAGGTTTTTAAGGTTCTTAGGATTACATTTTTTTATAACCAATATATTTTAGTTGATTTCTAGTTACTCAAGCTCTAAAATATATAATTATTTGTAAATGTTATATATGTATATACAGTATGTTTATGTATATATGTTATAGGGCTTCACAATATATTGTTTCAGCATTGATATCGCAATATGTGCCTCCGCAATAGGCACATTGCAAAGATATGCAATTTCCAGTCTGAATTATAGTTGGCCAGGAGCCACAGAATTGTATTTAATCACTGTATTAAACTGGAATTGACATGATTTATGCAGCAAAAAAAAATTATTTCGTAGAATAGTCCAAATATGTATATTTCAAAGTGAAAACAAGATTATTTTACTTACCCCACTGGCAGATCATGTCCTTAAAACAAGAGAGTAACTACATGCATGCATGCATGGATACATACTATATATACAGTTTTCTGTATTTATAAACGACTACAAAAGACATAAATTCATTGGAATTAAAACTTGTAAGCACAAGAAGCAATTACGCTACAGAACACATTAACATAAAAAAGACAGCATCACACAGTGCAGGGCATTGTCAAAAAGGGATTAGATGTTCTTTCCAAAAGAAAAGGTGAAATATACTTGTCAACTCATTTTCCAAGACTGTGCTTACAACATTTTTATATTTTACACCAAAGTGTGACTGACTACTTGTGGCTACAGTCTCAAACGCAAACTAAAACAGTCCTTTCCTGTGCTTGCAGGAGGACCCATGCAGATTCAGGACATGAGAGGAACCCCTGGAAAAGGCCAAGAGGGCTTGCCCTTCAGAGGAGGCTCCATTACACAGGTTCTTTTTTTTATATATGTATATAGTGCTCGGCTTATACAAGTACACCCCTCACAAATCTCTCTTTTAAATTCATATTTTTAATAGGATCTATGCAGTATTATATTTGTGCATATACGTTGGATTAGTCAGTACTATAAGAGCAACAATGAATAAGTGCTATAGGCAAGTTTCAGGTCTGTAAAGTCTAAGAAGGAAAGTATTAGTAATTTTTTATTTTTTATTTTTAATTTTTTTGGGGTACAGTTAGTGGTATATCCAGAGAGGCAATTGCAGATTAGGAAGTGAAGTGGAGACTAAATAGTTGAGTTTTTAGTTGTTTCTTGAAAACAGCGAGTGACTCTGCCGTTCTGATGCAGCTAGGGAGTTCATTCCACCAACTGGGCAGATTGAACGCGAGCGATCGGGAAAGTAATTTCTTCCCTTTTTGGGATGGAACCACGAGGCGACGTTCATTCACAGAATGCAAGTTTCTGGAGGGCACATAGATCTGCAGAAGTGAGAGCAGATAAGAGGGACCAAAATACATTGCCAATATTCACTGAGAAATGGATAAAAATGTTCATTTTCAAAATGGGGTGTACTCAGTGCTGAGACCTGTAGGCCTTTGTGCAGTTTTCAGTTATAGTTGTGTAGTGTTTTTCAGTAACACTCTTTCTCTTTCCAGGGCACTCCTGCACTGACTCAGTCCAATGTAGCAGCAGAACTTTTAAAGGGCACTATTGCTAAACTGGCCACAGAGGACCAGAACAGTCCAGAGAAGAGTCGAGCAGAAGCTCATTCCAAAGCTCACGTCATCTATGAAGGCAAAAGTGGACACATTCTTTCCTATGACGGTCAGAACCAGAGCTCCTAGGCCTTAATGACTGTTCATGGCATATTTCTAAAAATGGAGGATTTATTTGTTTATTTTAATTTTTTTGCTTTTCTTTTTTTTTTAAATTGTTATCTTTGTTGTCTGGGTCTAGTCATTTCACAGCAGTGAAAGTGGAGACAGATTTTGAAAATGTGCTTTACTTTAAAGGCTAAATTACATGTTTGTTAGCAGTGTGACAAGGGCAGTCGCTATTTTTATAGAGCGCCACAGCAAGATGTTAGCCAGGAGTCTTTTGGACATGGTCTGTTGGTATTTTTAGTTCATATTATTATAATAATATGTCTCTCTCATTTTGTATTCCCACAGCCATTAAGAACCCTAGAGAGGGCACAAGAAGCCCACGTATGGGGCACGATCTTAAGCGCACATATGACATCATGGAGGGATCACGGGGACACACACCACGTGAGACTACACCTTATGAAGGTTAGTCACATTTTCATTTTCTTTCTAATTAAAAGAATAATGAGGCACAAAAAAAAGTTGAAGATGCTTGCAAGGAAGAAATGTTTTCACGAGTTGTTTCTGTCTGCCAGGTTTGATTTGCAGAACATTGAGGGAAAGTCCACATGAGTCGAAGGATCGACCCATGCTTGCAGGATCCATAATGCAAGGTAATTTGTGGACCCATTTTGAAAATTCATATTGTATTTTTTTTAAAAAAGAAAAAAGTTTGCTTAAAGATGTTGTTTCTCAGTAAATGTTTACTACATCATGCTCAGTTTTTCCTCTGTTTCAGGAACACCAAGAGCCTCTACTGAAGTCTATGATGAAGCCTCCAAATATGGTAAACAGATCAAGAGGGAGAGTCCACCCATACGCTCTTTTGAAGGTGGCATCACAAAGGGTAAACCATATGAAGGTGTTAACACCATAAAGGAAATGGGCCGCTCTATTCATGAAATCCCCCGCAAGGAAACCCAAGATAGCCGCAAAACTCCTGTTTTAGAAGGTTCTATTACTCAGGTACGACCTTTACAGTTGTTGTTATTTTCTGCACTGTGATTTGTCTGAGTAACATTTACACTACCGGTCAAAAGTTTGGGGTTAGTCTGATTTTAAAATAAGCTTCTCCTGCTCACCAAGGCTGAATTTATTTCATTCAAAATACAGTACAGATTGTAAAATTGTGAAATATTATTGCTATATAAAATAACTGTTCAAAAGTTATTTATCATTTAGTTTAATAATTTATTCCAGTAATTTTAAAGATTAATTTTCAGCTTCATTAATCCATTCTTCAGTCACATGATCCTTCAGAAATCCCTCTAATATTAACTATTATTATATATCTAATACAATTAATTATTATTATTATTATAATTATTTATTCATTCATTCATTTTCTTTTCGGATTAGTCCCTTTGTTAATCAGGGGTCGCCACAGCGGAATTAACTTCCAACATATCTAGCATATGTTTTGCGCAGTGGACGCACGCAAACACGGGGAGAACATGCAAACTCCACACACAAACGCCAACTGACCCAGCCGAGCTTCGAACCAGCAAACTTTTTGCTGTAAGGTGAACATGCTATCCTCTGTGCCACCGCGTCGCCTATTATTAGTTTTTATTATTATTATTATTATTTGTAATAGTAATAAAAGCAATAATGAATGGTGAAATAATTTAATTTGAAACTACATACAATAAGTAATAATAAATATATAATAAATAAGTATTTAACAATTTTGTTTTACATTTAATAAATGCTGCCTTGATGAACAGAATCATTCCTTTTTTTTTTTTTTACTAAAAAAAATTTGACTGGTAGTGTATATCAAATTTGGATCAGTCAAAAGGAAACTATGCATGCTTTTAAACTGTTAATTTTGCATCTTTTCTCTACTTCTGTGCAGGGTATTCCCCTGAAGTACGAGGGCAGTGCTGTGAACCCATCTGCCATTAAGCACAATGTTAAATCTCTAATCACAAGCCCAGTAAAGATCTCGCACTCTGCGATCGAGGCAGCCGAGCGTGAGAGGGCCAAGTATGAGGATGCAAAGGCGTCTGAGCGTGTCCGGCACACTTCTGTAGTAAACTCCACATCTGTCCTGCGCTCCACTCATGCAGAGGCAGGAAAGGCTCAGCTCAGTCCAGGCATGTATGATGACAGCAATGCACGGAGAACACCTACATACAGTAGCACCTCCATACCCAGAGGATCTCCCTTGCTGCGAGGGCAAGAGGGTATGACTGCTCTCTTTATTCATCTCTTTTTACCCTACCACTACCAAACAGTTGCTCCACTTACTGTCAATCGTAGATTGTTATCTTAAAGTCTACCCGTCAACTTTATGGCTCATTATACCGCTTTTTTTCCTTTTCAAACAGGAAGTATAACCACAGGTAAACCAGTTTCTCATGAAAGGAAGAGTGCACTGACCCCCACCCAGAGGGATAGTGTTCCTGCCAAATCGCCTGTGTCTGGAGCTGACCCTCTTGGCTCTCACAGCCCATTTGACCCTCACCACAGACCTGTGGTACCTGGAGAGGTCTACCGGACTCACCTGCCGCCACACCTGGACCCCACCATCGCCTTTCACCACAGAGTCCTGGACCCAGGTAATTTAAGGCATTATAGGATCTTTCCAGATGTTGATTATTCTCTTTTAGAATTAGAATTTTTATCAAGATTTCATTAAAGTAAAATATTGTTGTGGTAGTTAGTGTTATGTTACTATTACAATATTGTCTTTAACAAAAACTGTAGTACAATCAAATTGTCTCTCCATTATTGTTTTGGCACACAAATAGGCAATGTTTTGTTTCACAAGAGTTATGAATGTCTGTAAAGAAAGGAAAGGTTGTGCAGAGTATGGCGGAGCGATTTGGCGATTTTTATCTCAATTACGATTAATGAACAATTATTTTATCTGTTTATTTAATTTTTTTGCCCCCTTATAGTGTACTGACAAGTTTTGCACATTAAATGTGCACACATATTACAAGCGAGAGATTTTTGAATGAAGGGTGCTTTGCTAAAATAATTGAAGGAAACACACACTATCTACGATTATTTATTAAATATCACGCTATCTAGCCGTCCAGTCATGCAACAGCATAAGGGCTGTGCTGCACTATATGTGTGTGCTTGACGCAGAAGTATAAACTAGCCTTAACAGAGCGGGGTCACTTCACTCCACACACGGTTGGGAAAGTAATTGAAAAAAAATCAAACTAAAAAAACTAAAACTATTATAGATTCTGAATGTCGATTTCGATTACTTGCCAATTAATTCCCCAGCCCTAATGCAAAGAGACCTTATTTGGTAACTGTGGTTGATTTGATTTTTGCAGACACTCATTTAAAATCCTACAAAATCACTGACATTGAAGTTAAGAACAACTTGAAAGCATTCAGAGCAGCCTCGAGCATGACCTTACATTCACACAATGCTGTATGATAATGGCGTGTGTGCATGCTCACACTGTTAGATTAAAACCAAGAGGGAGAATATTTGTTTTATGTTGTTCATTAAAATGATACTTGTTGTTCTGGATGCTGGAACCTTTGTTAAAAACAAAAAAAGAAACAGCATCAGCTTGATGTTTCTGCAGATGCATGCATCATGGTGTCAGGAATAGGCATAGGCCAGTATTAGATTCTGATAGTAAGATAACCATGAATAAAACTATCACGGTTTCATGGTATTGTGATTATTGCTCTGAAATATATTCTTTTTAAATGTCTGCATAAAAACCTAAAGTTTTTTTCCCTTTGAACACAATAGATTTTATTTTTAGAAACGTTTATAATATTTTGTAACAGTAAACATGCCAGGCTAAATAACTCAAATGGTCTTTACTAGCTTTAAAAACACTGATTTCCTTACAAAATTTAAAATGGCATCTTTGGAGATATTTTATGCCGGAGATACTGTTGTCCTAAAAAATAAAAAAAATAAAAAAAAAAACATTAAAAAATCTTACACATATCTTTGTAATGGTATAGCAGAAAATGCTGGCGATTCATCTTGATTTTTACTAACCACGGTATACCTTGTTTATCGTCCCATGCCTAGTAAGAAACCTTGTGCCCTTGACCATTCTGTGAAGCTGTGGTAATAATGTAGTAGTAGTCCTGTGTGAACAGAATAGCAGCTCTAGTACATGTTTATTTGTGGATGAAATATCTCTTTAATTAGCCTCAGCAAACACAAGTGGGTACTCTTGCCTGGGTCTGGAAAATTTGTGAATTATGAATTAGTTCTGTTCAAACAGGCCTGCAGGAAAAACAGTTCATGCGTCATGCACAAAATTGATTGATGCTCTGAATAATGACTCTCTCTAAAAGCACTACTTCTGTCTCATTTGTAAACATCATGTTTTGGTTTTTCATGCATTTGATAATGGCACTTCCTGGTTGACTCTCCACTACTGTGGCAAACCTGCACTATTGACGTCAAGACAAGAACAGCTGTCTTTTCACCTGTCATTGTTGTTTTTCCTCTGTATATCGCAGCAGCGTATATGTTCCCACGGCAACCATCGCCAACTGGATACCCCAACACTTACCAGCTGTATACCATGGAAAACACTCGGCAAACCATCCTAAACGATTACATCACGTCACAACAGATGCAGGTCATACCACGGCCTGATCTCGCAAGGGGACTATCGCCACGTGAACAGTCTATTGCCATCCCGTACCCGCCACCTAGAGGTAAAGGGCATGATTGTCTGAGAATGTGTGTGTGTGTATGTTTGTAAAAGTGAATGAAAGGATCAAAGAAAGAATGTGGTGTTTGGATACCGTGTTTGTGTGAACAAGTGGCAACCTTTTCCAGACCACCAGAAGCAAATGACCCTAAAGCAAATTGTGTCAGTTCACAGAGTTCAAAACTATTTTAAATCCAGGGCTGGGGCTGTTTCTCACATGTCCATGATACCTGTCTATAAAGAGGCCTGCAGGTTTTGTTGTTTGTTTGTTTGTTTGTTGCAAGATCACTCTTCACCCCATTGTAACTCAAGTAACATCATTCATTTTACTGGGCAAATTAACCTAGGTCTTAGAAGACATAATGTTACACAAATGAGAGGATGGCTTTAAAGCAAGAGCATGATTTAGGCTATGTTTACACAACAACAATGCCAGTATGTGGCGCTGTCACCTTGTTGGTAAACGGTACATGAAGGTAATGACAACACGGTGTCGTTGACGCACCTGTTTAGGTGTGCATGTAGAATTAGTTGTCGGGATTCACTGTGAATCATTTGAAAATTGATAAAAATATGTGACAATTCAAACCAGTTGAAATGTTGAATGAATCACAATACATTTTTTTAACAGAGGGGGCGCAAACTTGCTTTACCTGCACATCAGTGGCAAGCAAGAAGTGGGGCAGCAGTGTAAAATCGCAGCAGTGAAGTTTGCCAGACAAACTGCAAAAAGACATTTACATACACTAACAGAAGAAAGAATATGATAACCATAAACCATCAGCACAGTGGAAAAACTACTGTCACAGTGGTCAATACGCAAAAAAACTATTTATAAGCCAAAAACCACGCAGGCCGTATGATTTGCAGTTCCACTTGCTCTGACGAGTGATACGGAGATCACACCAAGCATAACTTTTATATAGTGAAAGTGTGAAGATGTTTTTTAGACTGAAAGAGAAAGTCCTGCTGTTACAGAAGCAGACAATACATTATTTTTATCCTCACCTTTGTTAAATTACTGTATGCATATTTTAATAATTTGCTTATTATTATTTTTAAATATTTAAAATGTTGAAGATTATCTATTGACCACCTCTGTACACACTTCTCTCTGGTTTAGAAAAGGCTTTCCTCTCCACACCAGCCATCTCAGTCCCCAGTTTTTTTTCCAGCAGAGGAAGTTGTAAATTACCTCTGCTTATGCCAGAAAACAGAGATACGCAGACAATTCTTTTAAAAATGTAAAATCTCAGCACTGTCACAGTTTTAGTTTGTTTATATTAATGAGTTTTCTTAAGTTTGTATTATTATTATTTTTTTTTATAGCAATTTGGTTATGGCAGAAAATTTATTATTTTGCAAATTGTGCAGCATTTAAGAAAAAAATAAAAGGGCTCTTCACCTCAAATTTGTTTAAGAAAATTTTGTTAAACATTTGTGAATTGTGAGATTAGTATCGTGAGCCAGGTGAATCGTTACATCCCCAATTAGCTGTGTGTGTAAGATATGTCTCTGCTGTTTGTAATGTAAAGTATCCACATTTTGCTGAGGACGAATTAGCAAACATTTGAGCAACATTACTGCATGCTAACCATGTACCACAACATTGTTTTCTGTTTCTTTGCGTTTGCCTTTAACCTACACCTCCCTAATCATTTACTATGTAGACCAGTTTTTACAAACAGATAAATGACAAATAGGTTCAGTCTTTAGCCAAAAACGTTGTGTAAACAGACAGTTGATCTGAAAGAGTTTGACCTCAGGCTCAGACCCTTAGCGGGCTCTGCTGTCTAAAAGGTCATTTACTCTAACTGTCAGCATAAACCATTTTCAAATAAAAAAGATGCCTTTGTGTAAACTACAAATACTTGAGATTTTTAAAAACAGGTTATGAGTATCCGCGTATAGTCTATAGTCAAACTTCGTGCATAGTGATTGTTTACCAGTTACTGTCCTGACATGCATAATACAGTGTTTTTAGTCATTTTCTGAAAAGCATTTTAATGTCTGTTTTTAAGACATTGTGTATACACTATTCCAAATGCCCCTATGTTGTGATTCTATTTGTTTGTGGGAACCAGCTTTCAGCCCTGGCCTGTTTTATTTTGTGGTAATTGAACTCTAATATGAAATAATAAATAAGCTGATTGAATCTTTAAAAAAAAATTTATACTCTTTTGTTAGCCATTAGACGTTTCTAGAAGATTAGTAGAGGGGGTTGGCTCTTTAATTAAGTTTGAAGCTGATTGGTTGTGGATGCTCACCCTCTGGCCCTTTGCTTCTGTCTGTAAAAGGAATAATTGATCTAGCCCAGATGCCACCTACCATCCTGTTACCTCACCCTGGGGGCACAGGTTCCCCCTCCCTGGACCGCATCACCTACATCCCTGGACCTCAGACCCCTTTCCCTCCTAGGGCATTCAACCCTGCCTCCATATCTCCAGGTGAGGATCCCACCCCTCCTCTCCTATCCAACACCTGAACTTCCCCTTCGAGTCCTGGTGGTGGTGCTTGAGAAACTTGCCCTTCGCTGCTGCTCTGAGATCAGTTGTACTGTTCTAATTGAGATGCTTTCTTCTACCTCAAACTAACTACAGCTCTTTACTTGCACCACTATGATGGCAGTGCATCACAGCAAAAGAAAGCACATTTTATCTAATTGATGAGCTAGTCTAGAATTAATTCTAATGATCACAAACCTACAAACTATAATACTAGAGGCATTGACAGGTCCTAAAATCTGACAAAAGCTCACTTGGATCACAAGTTATTAAAAGGAAAATCCGCTCTGAGATAAAGTTAGACGAATGTGACCAGTTTTGCACCTGAATGTAAAAAGTAACTGCGTTTGCACAGCACGTGAGTGATGACTTTTTGAACTACATGAGACAGACCAGATTTAGAGATAACACAACGGCAGATGTATGACTTTCTCCCTTCCTTATTTGGTGATTCATTCTCCAGTGCTTCTTAGTATCATTTACATTGGCTGCGTTTTCAGCACATGTTGCCAGATAATGTTGCCTGTACTTTACATCAGCAATTTAGGGCAATATTTTTTTATAGTTTTTGCAATTATTTAATTTTATCATTCGTTTAATTATTTTAAGGAAAAGTGTAAAAATATAGAGTTGTGGTTTGGCATTTTAGTAGTTTTCTGTGAACAGTATCTGGCAACGTGATTTTTCTGCTTTATACTGCTTTGTTTTCACTGGCTGCTAGCAAAAAAAAAAGGTTCAGTCAGATTCACAAACAAATGGTTCTTGTGATGAATGGGTCAATAAATGCACATTCGGTTCAGTTAGGATGTCAAACATACTGTTCCTTTTTGAGGAGTTAGATTAAGCTTATACCGGATCGTAGCTTAAGATAAACGTAGAAATATAAAGGTGTTGTTCAAAGTTTAAAAAGCGTCAAAACATCCCTGGTTTGCCGTTAGTACCCCCCCTTACCCCTCTTTTGCTCCTGAGATCTTGCCTGCACCTGCCCACATGAGTAAGCATCTGAAACATTATTGGGTTCAGTAGTGTAAAGCTCGTCCTGGGAGTGCAGGTGGTCTGGAGGTGAGTAAACCTTAACAGTCTAAATGTCTGCTCACACAGAGAGTGGAGGTGAATTACAGTGAGTAAATGCTGTGCACCCTGTGCTAACACACTTTTTGAATGGTGTTTGGTGGCTCCTGTGTTTTAGTCTGTCTCACTGTTTTGTTGCATAATCAGTAACTGTGCTGATCATTTGGTGTCAGTTGGTGTTTTTTCATTTTTTCATCGTTTTGTTTGATAATTTGCTTTGTTCCTGTTTAGAGTACATTGGTTACCCCTTTATGAAGGTGCTGGTGCATAAACCACCTTTTCTGAGAAATTTCTGCAACAAAAAACCTTTTTTCTAATGGTCAATTTAAGATTTTACTTGTGAAACTAAAGAGACAATAGGAAAAGAGTGTGACGATTCTCTTACGTAGTGAAACATTGTATTTTAACGTGAGGGGTGATTTACACCATGCATAGAGCTACCTTTCGTTTGTTTTTATTTGTTAAATGTTGTTGACATGAAATAATGAAAAATTATTTGTGATATTTTGTAAAGCTTCCCAAGTAACTGACAATTGCACCTGTTAGTGGAGGATAATGGCAGTTTTTCAGAGTTATTCAGAAAAAATATGTATCCAGGGAAACAGAGCTCCTTAATGCTAGATTGTTTTATTAAAACCAACTAAGCACTAAGAGATCCTGATATGGCAATGTGAAGTTGACAGACATCCCCTTGCCAAGTAACGTAGCATTTTATTGGTTTTAATGTTGTGGTAGTTTTGTGTATGCATTAAGTAAAAATTTTTATTTTTTATTTTTTTTATATATTTTTTTGGACTAAACCAAGACTATGCAGCTTGCAGTTTTTCCCACTCGCATGAACCAGCACCATTTGTGCAAAAGGGGTCAAATCAAAATTGCTAATGTGTGTTAACAAGAATGGCACCATGAATGGATTAATGCTTGAGGTTTACTGTGAATCTGTCAGCTGGCCCTGTCAAACTACAGCAAGTGAAATGAGCTGGTTTGCTTGTAACTCCACACTGTTTGTTTTTGTGTGTTGCCTGTTCTTCGCTCCCTGCAGGACATCCGGCTCATCACAGTGCCGCTGCAGCCATAGTGGAGCGGGAGACTCAGAGAGAAAAGGAGCGCGAGAGGGAAAGGGAAAGAGAGCGAGAAAGAGAGCAGAGAGAACGGGAGCGTGCAGCAGTAGAATATATGCGTGGGGGTAAGATTATTCAACAGGTGTAACAATAGTTAAACTACTCATTTCTTCCAGCATTTTCAAGACATGACACTTTTCTCTTTCAGGTCCCGAGCAGCCTGTTCGACCAGGCAGCCGTAGTTTCCTGCGCTCCACCTCTCCATCTGTAAGGGCACAGGAAGGTGTCCTCCAGCAGCGGCCGAGCATCTTTCAGGGCACTAACTCCAAAAGCGTCATTACCCCACTCATGTGAGTAATATGCTAATCATTTATGAAAATTATACTTGACCTGTTAAATAAAAGTATGAAAAAAGCAAGTTTGGATGTAAAGGACATAAGGGATGTAAATGACTGAAAAAAGCAGCGGGTGAAGTATATTGATCACAAGTGCTTAGTTTGTGATCATATCTCTGCTTTTGTTTAGTTGATATGTTATCCAAATATTCAGAGCTTGAAACTAAAGGACATGTGACTGGATTGTGCTGCTTTTAATGCCCCTCACACAGCTTGATCCACGCTGGCATTTTCCCCCTTGGGTTTTAGGTTTTCATTCAAACTTTTAGAATACCGGTGTCAGATTTGCACAATCCATATGCACAACGCTGGCAGACCTCCCACGCATAGCTACGGTTGCTAAAGCATGATTGGTCTGTGGCGGTTTTTGGGTGTGGCTTAGCGAAGGGTCATTTACATTTGATTCTCATTTGCATATTGATTAAGCTGTGTTGAAGGTGGGACTTCAGGTGGTTTCCAGCACTAATTATAAAGGTGGTGTAGGGGGACCAATAGTTTTAACCCAAAATGGCCAGTCTTCAACACTCACAAATATAGAGATATGGCAAAAATGCAATCTCATTTCATTCTTTTCCATATTGAACGATAACAATATATATTTCTATCTCAGTTTTTAATGCTTCCAGATTACCCAGATTACTTCCACAAAAATTAGAGGCTCCATTAAATAGCGTAACCTGTTTTCAGGGGCCAATAATTTTTGGTGGCTAATAATTCGGTGCATCTCTAGTATCAACACACTTAGATTCCCATTGCTGTACATTTCTGCTGTATGATTGGCTCTTAAATCAATATAAAGTCTAGAGCTTATTGGTATTGACACATATTTTATCGTGACTTGATGTAATATCATTTACCGACCCAGCCCTACTCATAAAAAGTTTGTAGGGCACTCTGCTGATTTTTAAACAATATTTAGCCTTTTTTTTAATTCGTAGATGTTTAAATTAGTTCTGGTGTAATGAAATGTTTACTTCTGTTTGTCCAGGCCAATGCAGTCACAAGCAGCTGCAGCTCAAGCAAACTCCCGATACAACAACGCTGCTGATGCCCTCGCCGCCTTGGTGGATGCTGCCGCTGCAGCACCGCAGATGGATGTAGCAAAAGTCAAGGATGGCAAGCACAGTAACAGTAGCTCGCGAGATGATGAGGTGATGTCATCACGCCGGGCAGCACAGGAGTCACAGGAGCTGGAGCGCCGTTCCATGCAGTCGCCATACGGAGACATGTCACTTCCTGGCGGAAAACCTTCCCAATCAGTGTATGCTGAGGGTGGAGGAGCCGCAGGGAGCAAAGAGAAAGCCCCACCCACAAAATCACGCATGGAGGAGGAGCTGCGCACACATGGAAAGACCACCATAACAGCTGCAAACTTCATTGACGTCATCATCACACGGCAGATCGCCCCAGATAAAGACTCCCGAGAGAGAGGCTCACAGAGCTCCGACTCCTCTAGCAGCAGTGAGTGTCGTCAGAAACACTTTGATTCATTCTTATCTAATGTCTTCAGTGGTGTAAAGTAACAAATTACACATTCTCAAACTACTGTAACTGAGTAGTTTTTATCAGAAATTATTTACTAAGTAGTTTTAAAAATGTGTACTTTTACTTTCCCTTTACAACCTCATAAATGCAACAATCAGTTTGCACATTAAAAGTGTGCAAGATGTCTTAAATCTTTACACGCAATGATTGAGAGACTTTATAGACTGCATGTCACTGATGAGAAGATGGGTGTTTACTGTATGAGGACTGAAACCACCAAATGCCCTTTAACATTAGCTAAATGCACTACAGAGTGTTACGTTTACACATCCATACACAAATTGCATGTACACGCATGAGCCATTCACATCGTTATACTCAATACTCACTACTTTTGAGTACTTTTAAAAGGTCTAAAAGTAATATTTACAGCAGATACTTTTACTCGCACTGCATATTTGGGCAAGTAATGATACTTTTACTTGAGTATGATTTTTCTGTACCTTTTCACCACCGAATGTCATGTGTAGATGATTATAATCTGCTTGTCACACTGTACAGTTCACACCTTAACATAGTTCAAATGTTTGAGTCCAGTAAGAAATATCTAGTTATTTGATGACAATTTTAGCACCCTTTTATGTTTAGAAAGCATTACTTCAGTCTTCAGTGTTACATGTCTTTCAGAAATCACTGTATTGTGCTGTAATGTTAATATGTTAATACATATATAATATATATAAATCTTTTAATAAACATAATGCATTGTGCAAAATTTCAGTTATATTTTGCTTAAAACAACAACAAATAACTCAGACCCTTACAGACCCAAAGTGTTACTAAAAAGCAATAAGAGGTAATCAGCAAGTTTGCCATAAGCTAGATATGTTATCTTATCAAAGATTGTGTTGGTTGTAGTGCCACAAACCTTTCACAAATGTTTATATGCAAAGGGTCATTCAAGAAATTAGACCTCTTCAGGACAAGGCATGAGCTTAAGGATTTACTAACAGAAGGCATTAACAGGACACCTAATGGGATGACCGGTGTCATTCAGGCCGTTGGGCCTAATAGTATTAGAAAACCTAGAAAGTGCGAACTTTGACCTAGCTAGAAGTGAGACCGACAACATCCATAAAACCCTGACCTCAGATTTGAAGGAGTAAATTCCATTATGGAGGTTGTAGTTCTTACTGGGGGAATGAAATTTGTTCTTGCCTTAGTCACTTACTTTACAGACTGCTATAAGCTGTTTTGAAGCCAACTCCTGGTGTGTCTGCTTAGATTTTGTTCTTTATTGTTTTTTTTTCCTGCCCAAATACACAGGTCTGTAGATCTGAACAATTTAATTTATTTATAACATGGGTGTGTTATCTTCAACTTCCAGTATGTGGCTTTTGGTGTTTTCTGCTCTTTTTGTAAATGGTGGTATCACAATCATCTTGTTTCTCTGTTGAGCGCTGCTGCTACCAAGTTTGTGTTTTATTTATGTTGAGACAGGTTATAGACTGTGGGCTAAAGGTGTAGTTGACACACATTCTCTCATAACAAACCAGACTTTATTTGCTCTTGAGACTATAACAGCATGTGTACCTTTCGTTCAGTGTCATCCAGCCGTTATGATGCTCAGGGAGGAATTGAGGTGATCAGCCCAGCAAACTCTCCAGCCCTGAGAGAAGACAAGAGCGAAGGATCCTTCCCATCTGAAAAAAGCTCTCAGCTGCCCACAGGTGAAAAACCAAACCCACAAACAGAAACATTCATGTCCTGTAAAGATAAAAATAAAAAGACATGTTGCATTTCTCTTTAAAGCCATTGTATTACAACGTGGGAAATATTTACATTTAGTATAATAGTTTGAGTCCAGTAAAAATATCTAGTTATTTAAAAATACTTTTAGCAGCCTTTTATGTTTAGAAAGCATTACTTCAGAGTTCAGCGTCACATGATCTTTCAGAAATCACTGTAATGTGCTGATCTGGTGCTCAAGAAAACAGCTTAATGTTTGAAGTGGAAAAAAATATAAAGTGGAATAACATAAAATATATGTTTTCATTATAAAAACAGTGCTTCCCTTTGGTTTAAAATATACTATGCTAAAAATATAATATACTAAAATAAATGGTTAACTACATGTGACAAAAGTAATGTGATTTTAAACAATACTTTTATTTATTACACTGTTTTACACCATTTCTCTTCTTAATGTTTTAAAAAAGGCTGTTGTCCACTATTTCTCTTTTTTCTATGCTATTTAGGAGTCATCTGCACACAGCTGCACTCTTTCTCTCTATTTCTCCCTCCCTCAAGTTCAGGTTGCTTCATTGGCATGACATTTAGCACAGTATTGCCAAAGCATTTTAGATATGTATAAAATATACAATATATCAATGAATAACATCAATGAATAACATATACAGCAAATGAGAAAGAAATTACAGAAAAAAAGAACAAAAACAGACAGTATCTCTAAAATGGATATTTAGTAATAATTAGAATTAAAAGTGTATATTATATAAATATGTGTTGAAAATTAGTAAAAATGGCAAATGAGTTAACTGACCTTTTCTAATAATGTACATACATTTTGCAGCCAGTTTAGACCAGTCATTTCATCCTCTCAGAGTAAAAGGTAAAGTTTTTCTGAGTTGTTTAGATTAAAGAATCTATTCTCGCTTTAGAAAGCGAAAGCAAAAATTGACTCACTGACATTTTAGGAGATTTTATGGCGAGTTCAGACGGCATGATTTTCAAAGTCCTCATCTTTTGTCAAAGATGTTTTATACTGCATGACTATCTGGGCTAGCGTTTGTCGCTGCTTTGTTTACACTGCAAGATAGATCAGTGACAGGGGGTTTTATGCTGCATGACTTTATAGGAAGAATCGCCTACAACTTTGTTCAAACTACGTCTCACAACCAAAAACACGTAGTTTATCTTTTGTTATTTACTGCATAATGAGAAAAAATCCTTTAGTGGTGTAGAAAATGTACATATTTGCTCACTTTGGTTTGAAGGGAATTAGAAATTAAATAGGATAAAGCTTTTTTTTTTTTACCTGGTTTTGTTATTGCTCACATGACACATCAAACAGACACGGATGCTCCTGCCAAATTTACACTAGTTTTTGTCCATTTTTTTGGGTCCAAATAACCTTAAATGAGCACGTTTAACTTATCCCTTAATCTCCTGCTGACCTGCAGGTACCCACGCTAGTGGATTCTGCTCTCTCATTGGCTGTAGGTAATTGCCGATGTTATTTTCAGTCGAAACATATTTCACATGGCATGATTTGAATCGCCGACAGCTCCAGATATTTAGCATGCCAAATATCTCACGGGCATCTGCGACTCATCGGCGATTCTCTCAGATCGTGTCTTTGATGGTACATTTTGTGTGATTATTACTCGCGTGACAGAGCACCGATTTGCCTGTGATTTCAGGCATTTGTCGGCAATCCTCAAAACCTGTCGGTGAGTCAAAATCGGGGCTAAAATCATGCAGTCTGAACTTGGCATTAGAAACACCGACCGGATGCATTTTTAAACCTCAAAAAGGCTGCCAATCTCTTTGAGTACATGAGACTGTATGAGGAAGTGTTGTTGACAGTTCTCCTGCACACGCAATGAACAGTACGAAATTTGTAGGGCGAGAGAAGATTTTCCACTGGTTAATCGAACGCTGATGTTTAGTTATGTCAGCCAAATACAAAAAAGTTTTAAAGGATAATAATATTGGTCAAAAAAATCAAATATGATTGGGCAGCCTTAATATACCTGGGTGATCTGCCCAAGTAAAGTCTATGTGTGGAAAGCACTGTAAATATAAATAAGCTAGCGCTTTTTCTCAGATGTTTTTTGCATTGAAAAAGCCTAGACAGATTTACCATTGTGTAATAATTTTTTTACCTGATCTTTTATTTTGCAGGAATGTCATTTGGCCGGTACAGACAGCCCGGGGATTCAGGACCATCTGCACCCCAGCCGCCCCCCTCCTCACAATCAGACAGTTATGGCTCTGTCCCAAAAACACACCGCATCATGACCCTCGCTGACCACATTTCGGTAAGACACACTCAAACTCCTGATGCTTTATCACAGATCCTGCTTCCTCTAATTCCCTCATCTCTCTCTCGCAGCATATCATTACCCAGGACTTTGCCAAGAGCCAGGACACTCCCCCATCGTCCACTTCACTGCCTTCCTCCTCTTCCTCGCTCTCCTCCACATTCCAGAGCTCTGGTGTTGGAGGTGGTGTGGGTCGAGTAAAAGCCCTGAACCGCTACAGCCCAGAAAACCCAACTTCTGCTCACCATCAGAGACCAGCAAGAGTATCTCCTGAAAACTCTTCCGATAAATCAAGAGCCAGGTAAAAATGCACTGTTTGTAAAAACATTTAAAGGGATAATTGGCCCAAAAACAATGAGGTGTGCACACTTAAGGGATTCCAATCCTCAATGAGTTTCTTACATCTGTTGAAAACAGAAAGATTTTAAAGAATGCTGAAAACCAAACACAATCTCACCACAATATGCAACATTTTGATCTAGTGGCTCATTCATATGAAGTTGTATGATCTCATTTGTACAATTTAGTACGCTTTGCTTATCCTCAATGATGGTTGGGTTTAGGGGCAAAAGTAAATTTTTCTACAGCTGAACTTTAAGAATTAGCCACTAAACTTTCAAAAGGTAAAATAGTTATGTTACTGGAAAACCAGTAGCAAATTAATGAAAATACTGTAGAAGTCATTGGCTAATGGTTTTCAACGTTCTTACCTCTATATCTTTAGTGATTTAATCAATGAAGAAACACAAGAATGTTTAAAACAAGTGTAGCGTAAATTTAGTAAATGATGATAAAGTTGTCATGTTTGGGTGAATTAGCCCTATAATTCAAATTAGACTGCAATAATAGATTTGAAACACATGTTGTTCCTTTGATGATAATGAACTAAAAACAAAAACTATAATTTAAAAACATTTTTGTTAACTAAAATGAAAAAAACGAGAGTTAAAAAAAAATAGAAACAACTGAAACTATTGTGTACATACAAAACTAATTAAAATTAAAGCAAAAACGTTCTTCGTTTTCGTGTTTGTAAATGTATTTAATATACTGTCAATCTATTTAATTCGCATTGCCAAACAACTAACGTTTTACATGGCTGATTTTCTGACTCGAAATAGACCAATATATATCGAGTTGTTCAGTTCTAGTACAGTAAACTAATTTGAATTTACTCAAATTTGAGAAGCGGTGAACCAATAACACTGTGCATGCATTATTCAGTAAGCCGAAATTAAACAGTACATCCTGCTGTGACTAAACTAAACTTGAACTGCTGCAGCGCTGGAAAATCTAGGACTTAAATGAGAGGATGTCGCAAAACGAAAATTAATTTCATAACAGAAAGACGTAATGGAATTTAAATAAGTCAATCATGCTTGCAAAACTTACTTGAAAGAAACTTTTCAGATCATAGTGATGTTTTAACTGACTGAAAATTTTAATTGCTGACCAATTATTTTTGGTATGTTGAGTGCAAACTTTGGAAGATTGCAACAAATGATCCGGTTCATGTTAAAGATCGAACTTCCCTTCACACCTAACAAATATACAAATTTACATAAAAAAAACTAATACTGAAACCACTTTAAAAAACTAAGTAATTTCAAAATATAAAAACTAGTAAATCTCAAAAAAAGTCAAAACGAAGTAAAAAATAAAACTAGTGAAAAGTCCAAAACTATTAGAACCTTTGTTCGCACTCAGTCAAACTTTGCTTTAAGACAAATGAATGCAATGCCTAAATATCATTGTTTTAGAATTGCCTGCATTAGGTGTACTTAATATGTGTTTTACTGTGACAGTAAGTTTTGTAAACTGCCAACGATAAATGTCTTACTTTATACAAGCAGAGGCTTTAAGTAATCTATGAAACCTCATCTGAAAGTCCTTGGTCAGATGTGAAAATGTTTCCAAAGTGCAAGCAATGTTTTTTTCCACACTAAAAAAACCTCTCCTTCACCGGTTTCATTTCAGGCCAGGCAGGTCTCCTGATCGAGGTCGAGGACTGGAGAGCTATGAGCCCATCTCTCCTCCTCAGGGTTATTCTGGGATGGATAAACAGGAGGCCAGTGTGCTGCAGAGTCAAAGACGAGAGCAGGATCTTCCTGAACAGAGGTACAAAATCACAGTCTCACTGAACTTACTTTAATCTAAATTATTATTTATTTATTTATGCAAACATGCTGATACTTAATTTGAGTGTCTGCAAGTTTTCTCTCCGAGCATAATGTAAATGTCTTTTTATGCTTATTTAAACTTGAGTTTTATTGTTGTTCAGTTGTTTCAGCTGTTCTTGCCTTTTTCAGTATAGTGGTATTGTTATCCTTTCATTTCTGAAACAACTGCTTTATTCATTTTTGTAGATCATTTCAATAGTGTGAGAACAATTCAAAAAGCATGCTAAGGCTACAAACACAGTATACCTCTAGTTAGAAAAGCAGAATGTTGACAACAAATTCCCAAACAAACCTGTGTAATCCAAAGTATATTTAAGGTTTACTTGAGCCTTGATTTGTGCCATATTTATTTCCATATCATTTTTAGGCTTTGTTTTGAATAATAAAGATTTAATCCATTTTTCTTTACTTTCTGAATCCCTGTACAGTTGTCTGTATATTGTCTTTAGTGTTGTTTTGTGCTGCCCATATTTTCATCCCTGTGTTTCACTGTGTGACATCTGAACTTTGTTTTTCAGGACTGACTCACGCTCCCCAGGCAGTGGCATTTATCTGCCCTCGTTCTTCACCAAACTGGAGAGCACATCTCCTATGGTTATGTCCAAAAAGCAGGAGATTTGTCGCAAAGCAGAAGTCGGTGAGTTAAAATGCAAACCCATTTCCTTAAGGATCTACTGACATTAAGTAATATTTGCTAAAAAAAAAATGCTGAGCTCATGTTTAAGATTTTTCCCACATATTTCCCCCTGTCATTGCAACAGGACATAGCATCAAATTAGCATCAAATTTTACCTCTCATTTGCTCTTTATCTGAACAGGTAATGCTCAGCCAGGCACAGAAATCTTCAATCTCCCAGCAGTAACAACATCAAGTGAGAGAAATCTTTTTTTTTATTTCTTTTTCATTTCTTTTTTCAAGCTTAAATGTTGCTCAAGTCATTCTTAATGTTTCCTCTGTGTGTGTCTGTGTTCCTCTGTACAGGCAGTGTAAACCCTAGAAACCACTCGTTCAGTGATCCAGCCAGTAATCTGGGTCTGGAGGACATCATCAGGAAGGCTCTCATGGGGAACATGGAGGAGAAGCAGGAGGACCAGCAGCAGCAGCAGCAAACCCTGATGAGCGCAGCAAACTCCTCAGGCAGCATGAGCAGTATTTCAGAGAGCCGGCAGGAGGCCAACCCGTCCCCTAACACAGGTTCAGACTGCAAAGCCATATATATTTTTTTTTTTGCATGTTACCACAAAAATATGTATAGGTGTATAAGTAAAGCACCTTATTTCATTGCAGAATGTCTGTGGGATCTTAAAGTATTAACAAGTCTTAAATTAACTGAAATCTGAAACTGAAACTGAAATGTCTTGTTGGTCTTAAATTGTTTTAAATGAGTCTTAATTTTTATTTGTTGTTTAAAAGTATATAATTGATCCAAACAATACATCTCAATAAAACGTTTAGCAAAACTCTATTTATATCTTTTATATTTAACTGTTAATCTGTTAACATTGAGTTTTTACAATTTTAAAGAGTTTTTTTAGTTATGTTTAAAAAAAATTTGAATGTAAACCACTAGGGTCTGCTTGTTTTGAAATTATTTTATCATTCAATTTTTAATTAGATCCTTATTTAAAATATATGGTTTAGAGATAAGTAGTTAGAATTCTTTGATGCTGGGCCATTAAAAACTATCATTAGCACTTAGACCTCTATAAGTCAAAAATTGCTTGCAAGAACAAAAGACTGTTAGGGATTTACAATATGTTAAATCAAATGTTCTCTCATTTAACAACATAAAAATGTTGAAACAATGCCATGTTTTGAGGCATTTATAAAATATTTGGACAACAATATCAAAGTTTTAAATACATTCAAGTGGTCTTTTATGGGTAATTTCCACAGCAATACAGCATTATGTGCATTTATTTAAATTTTCACTGTCTGAAGAACCACAATAGGGTAGGGTACCACTGTTTGGAATCCTTTCAGTACTAAAGAGTTGTTAGGTTTTGCTGTATTTGGGTTGACCCTTCTTGGGTGGCTCGCCAATGTATTGGATGACTCTAATGCATAAAATAAGTGAGCAGAACAAAGTTCTTATCAGGAGAAGATTTTATTAAAGACGATGAAAAGTGCAGTTCCTCAGCATTGATGTTAACCCATTGGTCTTTATGTAGCTTAACCCAAAGTACTGTCTGTGAGACACTACTTTATAACAAAGTATACTGTAAGTATACCCCCGGAGATTACCCAACTGGTTTGGTTGGGTCTCAACTTTTGAGTTCCTTTAGGACATTTGGCTCACACCCTTTCAGATGCAGATACTTGTTCGCATTTGAAACAAGCTTTACAATCTATCGAGAGTGTGCTAGACTCTTGGTTTACAGAAATCCGTCACTTGCGCATTCAACAAGTCACAGGAATTTAAACACGATATTTAGATACACATTTAAAACACAACAACCATGGTTGAACCTGTCTCATGCAAAGTTTGTCCCCATCTTGTGTCAAACGGCCACATGCCAATAAGCAAGAACATGGTCTACTCTCATTCATTGTTTATGGGGCCATTCTCAATATGTGCACTAAGGGAACAACCCATACTGGTTTCTTCTTCAAACGTGATTGATTTCAAATACATCTTTGCCTTACTTTTGCTTGCCAAATAAGTGTACTATCAGCAGTGGGCATGCAGGCCTGATCATGGTGATTTATACTGAACCATACTTAACTGTATTCTATTCAACTGTACCACACAGTGGAAATGAGGAATATCTGCTTGTTGTTTATGTATTCTGTATCGGCTCTATTTTAAATATTTTCATTTATGACCAGAACAAAGATAGAAATTAAGCATATTCCCACTCATTCTGTCTCCTCAGCAGGGAAGCAGAAGCTTCAGAGCAAAGCAAGCAGCAGGAAATCAAAGTCTCCCAACCCAGGCCAGGCATACTCAGCCGGAGAGCGGCCCTCTTCTGTGTCCTCTGTCCATTCAGAGGGCGATTACCACAGACAGGCTCCCACCTGGGCATGGGAGGACAGGCCCTCGTCCACGGGTGAGCTTGTGCAGTCTGCATCCTCAGATGAAATGATTTAGCCACAGTGACATTAGTGATGATAGTTTCTCTCTTCTTCTGCCTCAGGTTCAATGCAGTTCCCTTACAACCCCCTGACGATGCGCATGCTCAGTAGTACCCCACCTTCCTCCATGGCCTGCCCGTCTCCCTCCATGCAGTCCCAGCAGCAAGCACAGGGTGGCACCACGGGCCCTGTGGCTCCCACACGAGCCTGGGAAAGAGAGCCACCACTGCTGTCAGAGCAGTACGAGACCCTCTCAGACAGCGACGACTGAGGCAGTGACCCCACCCCTCTCCTTCACACGCGTCCATGTCCCGCTCCTGCTCACCATCGCCCTTCTTTCACTGTCTTCATGAATCCCACTCACTGCCACTGGAGGGTGAGATTCAGCTGCGAAGGAGGACCCACGTTTGGTGCTACTTTGGTGCCCACTGGTGGTCAGAGAGAGCATTGCAGAGAGCCACTGATTGAATCCGACGCTTTGGCCCGTTTGGGGATTAAAAACTAGATCTAATCCCAAGTGAATAGAGACGAAGGATGAAGAACTTGTAAAGAACCTTGTTTGCTGAAAATTTGTTTCTGTAAAGATTTTTTGTCTTTGAAAAAGAAAAAAATCTATGGATGTAAATAGAGTAACCTTTTGCAGTGTTTTTCCTTTAACTCTTATTTTCCCTGCGTTTTTAACATTGCTTTTTAAATCTTTCCCAGTTTGATGGATGACTGGGTGGATGGTTGTATGGATGAATGGATGGTTGGATGGATGACTGGGTGGAAGGAGACACTGGCGAATTTAGTGTTCAGCTGAGTGAAGAGCATTGAGCTTCCCACATCTGAAAGTAATGGTCTGATGGAAACAAAACGCAAACAGACTTCATTGCCTTTCCCCCTTCAGATGCGGAGCCTGTGTGTGTGTGTGTGTGTGTGCAGCACTGTTGACGTCTTTCCATTTGTTACTGTAGGGAGGAACCACAATCGTTCATCAACTCTTCTAGGAGGACTCAATGAAAGACGCCATAAGCCTTTTCTGGTTTTCAGATTGACAGTGAAGCTTCAGACATAAGATGAATGTTCAGTTTTTCCGGCTTTTCTTTTCAGCTTGGTCTTTAGCAGTGGCCTGTTGCAGATCTGTGCAGTGTTTGGGCTACCATTGAATGTCTGGCAGTGTGACGCGACCCGTCATCTTTACTTTGCTGACTGTTCTTTCAGGGCGTTTCTTACAGGTTTTATGTGGTCACCGCCACCCTTCCCTCAGTAACTTTATTTGCTTTTTGAAGAATATGTTTCTGGGGAAAAGTTTGTAAATCTTTTACTGATGACAAAGGAGTCCAAATGTGTGATTTTTCTTTTTATTTCTTCTTTTTTTTCTCCCTAGACCACAAAACAAAATGCAAAGACAAAAAGAGGAAGTACCAAACTTGATACATCTCTGCACCATTGTTGCACTTTTTTTTCCTTCGTAATTTTGAAAAGCTTAAGAACATACTACCTGTAATCTAAGTTATTCAGTGTCATGCAGGGGTCTGGAGCGCTTTCAGATATATTCATGTACCAATCACTTACTCCATTTTTGACTTTTTTGTTTGGATTAAGCGTATAAAATCGGTACCGTTTATCTCAGCGGCTGCCGAGTGGTGGCTCTCATTCATTCAGAGATCTGAATGTCTCCGTGTCTGAAAGTGAATAAGCTCAGTTTTTAGTTACATGCAGAAGTAGTTCAATGTTTTGAAAGCTAATGGAGGTCCCTGATATCTGAAGACGTCTCGCTATCCTGCTTTTTCTGCACTTTGTGTGCTTCTGCTTGGTTTCAGTAACACCAACCGTCTGATCTTTATTTGAAATATGGTTTTGTTTCTTCATAAGTTTCAAAAAACAATGTCGAGCTGACGTTTGGGTTTTTCCACATTCTTATTTTCCGTCATTTTCAGCATCAATGTTATATTCATCCTGTTTAACAGGGTGTCAAGTGTTTACAGTGGCGTTGACAAAATGGTGAAACTTGAATCTTAAAGAAAATGAAAATTGCTCATCATGTCAGTCTATTTTACAGTCCAGCTTTGCAAGGGGGACTTCCTTTTTTCTGGTCTGTTCTAAATCTAGACTTGGAAAAAAAAGCATCCCCTGATGTTGAAATCCAATGTTTGTATCACTCTGTCTCCTCAATAGATGGATGAGAAATGTGCAGACCAATCAATAAAGTAGAACAGAGCTCCACCTCTCTGAAACTGACTGCGCTGTATCTCTTGTCTCTGCTCATTTACTTAATTAAATACAAGAAAATATAGCAAAATGTAACAGAATTTGCAAAACCAGGTATACTCTGAAGAAAAAAAAAAAAGTTTTCGTAATATCTTTTGTAAATCAACATCTTGTCTGTCTTTCTGTCCAGCAGAAAAATGACTCATGCAGATTTGGATCATCGTGAGGAGGAATAAATGACTTCATTAGCATGCACAGGTACTTTAAGTTCTGCTAATACTGAATTGGGGTGCATTGAATAGATGGTTCACCTGCTATATAAACCTGCTATTTATTTACTCTCCCTCAGCTAATCCAAGATTTAGATGACTTTTCTACTTTTGAACCTTAAATTAAATAGTTTATTATTATTATTTATTTATTTATTTATTTTTTGACTGAAACTGGTTCGCAAAATCCAGGCAATGAATCTGTGAGTTTGCATCCAGCAGCCACACATCACTATATGTGCTTTAGACTGTGGATTAAAGGGAATAACACCTGTTATGGTTATTTAAGATGGAAATGCTAGGGTTATAGCAACATTCAAACTTTATGGCCCCTTTATGAATGGTGGTGGCAAAGGAGCAGACAAACAATTCAATCATAGTGCTTATTTTCCAAAGTGAGTAAATGATAACAATGTATATACAAAATAAATCAAATAAATGGTTGTAATAAAGGGGAAGAGGAACAAAAGCAGTGCCAAAGAAAATAATTTAATAAAACACAACTATGAAAACCCACAATCTCTAAACCAGCGGTGTCCACACTCGGCCCCGGAGGGCCTGTGTCCTGGAAAGTTTAGCTCCAACCCTAATCAAACACACCTGAACCAGCTAATCAAGCTCTAACTAGGTATACTAGACACTTCCAGGCAAGAGGTGTTGAAGCAAGTTGAAACTAAAGTCAGCAGGACACCGGCCCTCCAGGACCGACTTTGGACACCCCTGCTTTATCTAAGAAATGAAAGAAAAAGAAAAGTCTTCAGCGTTTTCATGCCCTATCTAAGCTATTTTACTAACCAAAACGTATAACAAAACTTAAAATGATTAGGGCACACTTTTAATCTAGTGTGTATAATACATTTGCAGATTTATTGTATTGTGCCTGCTGGGTGTTTAAGGCCATTTTGCTCATCATACAGTAAACATCCGTCATCTTCTCTTCAGTGACATGCATCTAAACAGTCTCTCGGTCAATGTATGTAAAGTTTTTCTTTTACACTTTTAATGCTTTCAAACAGTTTGCTGCAATTATAAATCACCCATGCTTTGAGGTGGTTCATTATAATACTGTTTACCTTTTATGTGCAGTTTGTGAAAAATGGTGAAAAATAAAGTAGTGACTGCAGGTTAAAGTAGTGGAGTAAAAGAACCCATACTACACTAAAAATGCACTTAAGGAAGAGTAAAAGCACACATTTAAAAAAACTACTTAGTAAATTACAATTTCTGAGAAAAACTACTCTCAGTAATTTGAGTATTTGTAATTAGTTACTTTACAACAGTCTCTCCGTTTTGTGGTGAACAATTCATCTGTCATTAAGAATAAAAATTGTTTTCCCTTGTAATCTTTAATTGAAACCTGAAAATGCACTTCCTGTTATTTATTTATTTATTTTTCAATAAAATTGTCAGATTTTGAATATCTTATGCAGGGTTCAGCGCTAAGGATTTTTTTACTGGCCTGATTGGGCCAGCCATTCAGATTTTTACTGGCCTGCAAATATTTTCACTGGCCCGCCAAAAAAAAGTAAAGGTTAATAGCTATTTCTTAGCCACATTTTTTAAATATTATGTCAAAAATGTGTTTGAATCTAGAATTTAAATATTTTTAAAATGTTAATAAATGTATAATGAGCAAATCGTCATGCTGTACCCACGTAAATGTCTACTTCCAAGACATTCTTTAAGCCTCATAATTTGATGTTGCCATCACTTTGCTGTACTGGTTTTAACCAGGTTACAAAAAACATGCTCACAACATCCAATCAGATGAGAGTAACCTTAATTTGAATTAATGCTTATTTTTATCATGTCTTCTTTTAAATGCACAACTTGCTTTACATCATCCTCTGTGTTATTGTTCAGGTTTACTTAGTGATAGAAATTTCGATGTTACATGTTTGAGCTTAAAAAGATAGTTTACACAAACGAAAAGTTACTATTTATTTAACAAGTAAATTATGATAAAATTTTCATCATTTAATAAACGCATACTGTACTTTGGCACGCAAATCCTCTGAATTAGGAGAAAAAAGTTGAATTTTCTACAAAAAATAAATTAAAATAGCCTAATCTGATATCTAATAGTGAATCTAGTATAATAATTTGCTATTGGAAATGTTCATTTTTATAATTATTGTATAATGCATTTGTGAACACTCCATTATTTTATTCAGGAAGTGACAAGCATAATGACGTTCTCAACTCGCAGTGCTTGAGCTCAGTGCAGTTGTTGACATGAGACATGAAGTTGTTCGGACTGTGTTTCTCTGCTGGGGTCATGATGATCTGCTGCTGTTGTCTTATACATGTCAGAGGTCAGTCAATTCAGAGTGATTTACTGTATATTTGTGTCATTTATGACCTATAGAATGTTTTATTATATCCAGCTCTTGTTCATGTGTTTCCACACAGGCAATGGTGTTTGTCAAAGGAACTTGATTACAAGAATAAATGTAACCACTAAACTGAAGTCTAACGTCCTGCTGCCTTGCCTGTTTGATCCAGATCTCTTTAGATCAAAACTGACCACAAATTCAAGTGCTGACTGGAGTCAGATTAATAATAAAACTGGTCAGCACATTGTAGAGATCAAAGTAAATGGTGAATCAAGTTTCTGGGATAACAGACGTGGTAGAATTAAAGCTTTCTCTTCTCAGTCTGGATCTGGAAACTTCTCCATCCTCATTAATAAAGTGCTGAGCTCTGATCTCGGTCTCTATCAATGTGAACTCTTCAGAGAATTCAACTGTTCTCTGGCCTATACAGAAATCAGTGAGTGCTTGATTTTTACATATTTACATGGACATTGTTAGAGTGTTTTAAAACCTGATGTATCATGACACTGATACATTTTTTAACTTTGGTTTCATTTATCAGACATTAATTTTATTTATTTAACGTTATTGATCATGTTTATGATCTTCTTCAGCTCTCGCTCTTGTGGAGTTTTCATTTCTCGACAACTGGCAGCTTATAGTTGCAGCAGGAGGAGGATTTCTGCTAGTCTGTTTCTTCACTTGCTGTGTTTACTACACATTGACGAAACATGAGAAACCAGGTAAATTAAAAATTGTGTTAAAGGTTAAACAATTGTGTTGATATAGCTGACGTAACAGTGATGGATTCATAAAATTCATTTAACCTCAGTCAAAGTGCAGAGAATCATACAGTAGGTCATTCTAATCTCTTTGCCTCAGTGTAGTGTATGAAAATTAGTTTGAACTTAAAACAGGTGTTGATTACTTAAGTTATTTGTTAGCAGTAGACTGATAAATAAATATATATATGTCACTCTGCTGTTGTAAACTGCTCTAGAAATGTTTAAGACGTTTTGAATGTCACGAGAGGAAAATGAAAAAACATCAGTGATGCACTTGAGCGCGCACACACACACACACACACACACACACATTTAGATTATTATAAGTGAATCATTGTAAATACAATAATTATCAGGGGCCAAGCACCGAAGGTGCGTAGGCACCTATTGTATCCCTTCCGGTTCTTACTATTCTGCTGGCTTCCTCTTCCGTTCTTCCGGGAGTCTATGTCAGTCCTATGAACCATTGGTGAAATTTTTTTTATAAACTTTGGCACACTGATACAGGACAGTCTAATCTTCAACCACAACAAATTTGGACTCTCTACATTAAACTCTCTAGCCCCACTACTTGTCCAAAGTTTCACTTATGTTTATATTTAACTTTTGAATCGAATGGGCCACTATCAAAAGTTTTCCTCTGATTCCTTGGTTGATTCCTTCATGAATCAATTTTTGTAAAACCTGTTTGATCGAACTCGTTCTAGGCCGTTTGTCCGATTTTCACTGAAGTTGAATCACATGATCTACAGATTATGCTGACCAAGTTATTGAATTCAAGTTGATTAGATGAACGGTTTTTAATAATCTTGTGAACTAACTTAACGAAAAGCTTGAGAAAATTGACTTAAAGTGTTATCTCTGTAACGCATCGACGTATTCACATCAAAATTGGTGCTATCACAACCGTGATCTGAAGTTAGCTGCAGCATTTCCGTGCATTGCCCCCTAGTGCTCCGGAGATTAAAAAAAATACTTTTTTTTTGCTTATAACTTCTCAACCTTTGTCCAAAATTCATAAACTTAGTCTCTTTACATTCAGCGGAGCTTGCTAATTCGAATGATGTTTGATTTTTTTTTTTTTTAGGTCAGCCATTTTTGTTGTTGGCCATTCTTAATAATGTCAAAAATTAATAAATTAAAAAATAAATAAAAAGTAATAAAACTCAGCATGTGTGTTCGGGATTGTGCTCTGAAGGTGCTCAAAGGTTTCAACGCAGTGCCACCTTATGGTCAAACGTTATAACATAATTTCTAAAAATGCTAATAACCTGACTAATTTTGCCCATTGTTATGAAATTTGTCTTAATACATTCCTTGGGTTGTGCTGAGAATATCGATACCAATTATGCCTTAATTAACTGAGCTTCCCGTCCACCATCTACCTTAAGTCAAAAACCTACTTTTTCGAAATCCTCCTACATCGTTTGGCTGATTAGCGCCAAATTTGACTCAGATCATCTTCAGACCATGCTAACAAAAGATATGGAATTCGTGTCAATAAGTGTAACGGTTTTTGTTTATGCACCAACAAATGTGATGGCATGATGCCAAACTACATCTGAGGCTGTATCTCTGCGATAGTTAAAGATATTGACACCAAATTTAAGGGCTGTCATTGTCACCTCACATTGACCACACTATAAAAATGACAGCG